GGGCGCTTTGAACCTTTATAGTTACGTACAATCCGGTGACCATCCCAATGATGTCCATCTGGAATTATTTCACCTTTAGGGGTCAATTTGAGATCTGGAAATACGGGCGCTTCGGGTGCATCAGGCTCGACATCGCTGTCGGCTGGTAGAGGCGTACCTGGCTCGTATTCATACTCATCTTGTGGCGGATGCAACCTGGACTCAAGAGGCACAGCTTTGGGTGTCTGCGGAATGACCTGGTCCTCGAGGCGATCGGCTTTGGGTGCTTTCGAGTCAATCAGAGCTTTCAAAGGAAAGATGAAACCCTCGGATGGCAATTCCAACCTCTTTGTTCTTTGGATTGTCAGTGCACCCCAGTTGACATGATAATCTGCGGCTTCCAACTTGGCAACTAAGTATTCACCCTTCCAATCATGACCTGGTTGGATGTAATACCCAAGGAAAATTCCTTCATTTGCTGTTGGGGAGAGCTTACCTGATGTGTTATCCAACCTCTTGGGGTTATTCCAGAATAACACTTTGGCACCAAATGGAATGTGCATTGCAGGGAACTCTTCACCAAACCTGAGTTGCCATGGGGATTCACTGCCGTCAAGCTGGGGGCTTGCATTGATCGCGGTCGCATGATGCTGCATGGCCAATGGCCACATCTTCAAAGGAAGTCCTGATTGCAACAAGTTGCTCCGGGCACCTTCCAACATCTGACGAACTTCGCGCTCAGCAAAAGACTTTGATGAATCTACATATTCAATGGAAGTTTGGTGTCTGTAACCCAAATCCTTGATGGCCCTGATCAATTCTGGGGAATTGTCAGTGTACACAACTTGAACATCATCCTTTGATCCAATGAAGTGATTCAAACCATCAACACAGCTTTGTGAGTCCTTGGACTGGCTAGGGTAGACATACCGATATTGGGTGTGCAGATCTTTCAACACCAATGCGACTTGCTCCCCCCTGAAACCCTCTTCTACGTTTTTCTTGATGATGACATGATCCCCAATGACATGGTCACCGAACACTTCAGTTTCGATTCTCTTCTGACCACCTTTCTTTCGTGCCTGAGGTGCCATCATCCTTGCTCGTTGGCAGGTTCTGCAAAAGGGGTTCTTGGGGAAATGCGTGTACTGATGTTGGGTACTTGCAGCTTCGGCCAACAGATCCTCAGTCTTGCGGCTTCGGATGTACTCCTGCTGAGCGTCATCCTCGACCAGCTCATCCAATTGCTCTTCATCTTGGGCTTCGTCCCGTTTGGCTTTTGAGCTCGACCGTGAGGTCGGCATTGCAAACAACTTTCTGAGGTGCTTATCCTTTTGAAATTGATCTTTGGGATAGACCTTGCAACTATCATCCAAAACTGGGACATGACCTTCGATCTTGAGCTGGACGACCTTGTCATCTGGACGGACTAGGATTGGTTTGCCGTTGGCAGGCCATACGAAACTGTAACCCTGATCTACACATCTCGTTCCTACGGAGAGCACAGCTGGGGTATGATCAAGTACATACGGATGCACGGGATCTGGCAATGCGGACAACTTGACATCAGCAACCTCGTTTGCCTCGGTCGAACCATTGGCTGTGACTAAGGAAATCGGATGCTCGGCTGCACGACAGTTCTTGGCACTGACATCCCTCAGCATTCCTTTAGACACAAGATCGGATTCACTACCTGAGTCGACAAGCCAACTAACACCGGCCTTTGGCGCGGCTGTGGCAATTGACGGGAATCGACCAATGTCTCTAAGGGCTTTGGGACCGCTAATGAACCTGCACTCTTTGCATGTGATGTCACGTATGTCCTCATTCCAACAACAAAACCCACAACTAGGTGCAACATCTGAATCATGAAGTTTCACAGTTTCCTGAAGCTGTCTTGCACGAACCTGAGCCTCATGCTGTTCAACCTTGGATGAAACCGGAACATCTTCAGCTGTCTTGTACACCTCAGTGAACTCTCTTGGACGGTGCTTGACTGGGACTTGACGCCCAACTGCTTTCACCTCGATCACATGCGGGGCCTTTCGGAATCTAAGGCGCTTCATGCTGACACTTGACTCATCGGAGCACGAAGTTGCCTTCGGCTGTTTTCGCACGATGCATGCAAACTTCTGGATCAGGCATGGAGCGGCTGTGGAATCCTTGCTCTTCTTTTTGGGAGCGGGTGAATTGGCCCTTTTGGTGTCTTTGGTGGCGGCAGCAGCTTTGTCATCATGCTTATAAAAACACTTGTCACCACGTCTGCACTTTCCCTGGGCATGATAGATACATGGGGTTTTGGCCATTTCTTCCTTGGACATTTTCTTCCCCTTATCATCTTTGTTGCCCCTTGATGGTGAACGTGTTTTGGTTCTTCTGGGTGATTGAGTTCGAGATTTGTCATCCTTGACATGCTTAAATGGACATTTCTTCCCCTTATCACAGGTACCCTTTTGGAACTTATAGCAAATCTTGTCACCTTTGCCACCTCGTTCCTGCGATCTACCACGACTTGGAGAGCCCTTTCGGCCACCGCGACCATCGCCTTTGGCAGGTGCGGCCTTTGTGTCCTTGATCCCAGCCTTGTTCTTCTCCGCAATGCGGTTCCTGTTCTCCCTCAATCGTTCGCGATCGATCAAGTTCTTCATGGATTGGTGAAGAAAACTATAAGACTTTTCATGGGATTTCTCATGAGCACGGTCAAACATCTCAATGTCATACTTCAGCAACTGACTTGGTCGGATCTGCCTCAACAAGATGTCCCTTAACACAGCATCATCGGGGGTGACAGCCATGCCAGCTAGGGTAGCATCCCATTTGTTGATGAATCTTCGGAGATCCTGGACAGTATCGCCTACTTTGACAACACCCAAAAGATCTTCTACTCTGTAAAGGCTACCTGCTTCTTCTGATGTCTTGAAGTAGTCCTCAAACATGAGCAGAACATACCTTCCCCTGACCTGGATGCCTTTTCGGGATTGCTGCTCCTTGAAATTCAAGATCCTAGTTGCGAGGTCCCCTCCGGCTGAGCGCGTGAGCGCTGCTGATAACTTTGTATCCAGCGTGAGGAACTTTCCAGGATCTTGGAGTTTCTTCTCCAACTGCTCTCTGGTGCACTCTTGATCGTACACTTCATTGAGCCAGAGCCACGCCTCATCCGGGCGATCTGAACAGCTTTTCACTTCATCCCTGACGTGATTTTTCCAAGTCCTATACGACTCCGGAGCGGGCATGTTGTTCAGCTTGATGAGTTCGGCCTCCTTAGTTTTTGGCTTATCCTTTTCTTCCCTTTGGGTTAAGGCTTTCACCAATTCAATAAGATCTGAGGGACCCATAACTTGCTGTTGCTTGGTTACGCTCTTGGGGGAGTCATTTGGGGGAGTTTTGATAGCTTCAGTGGGAGTGAAAAACCCTGACTGCGTTGGCAATTGGGGCTGGTCGTTGCCGACCGCCGGCTTTTGCTTGGGACTGCCACCTTTGAGCAGCTCATCCAACTTGGCCTTTGCTTCTTGTGCCAACACTGCAGGCGTCTTCAACTCATGAATCGGCTCGTCACTGCCTTTGGCAGCCTGTGCATCGGATGCTTTGGGAGTGGCAATATTGAAGTGGGGCACGCTAGTGGTAGCGGCTGGCTCGGCATTCAGGGCGGATGCTCTCGGAACGGAGGCATGCTGCGCTTTGGCAACATGCTTTAACTGCTCCTGAAGGTCATCGATTTGGTCCTGAAGGCTAAGGTTCTGAGCCGCTGCCTCATTGATCTTGTCGGCCATCTCCTTCTTGTAGTTCTCGAACTCGGTCCTCAAACTGATGAACCTGGCCTGATCAATTGCAGCCTGATCTTCATATTGCTTCTTTGTGGCAGCTATGGCATTCTTTGCATGTTCAACTGTCTGTGCATAAGAAGCTTCGAATTCACTAGTGATACGTTGCCTTTCCTCTGCAATTCTCTGATCATGCTTTGTGTTTGCCTCTGCCTTTACATCCTCTATTCTTTTGTCATTCGATGCCTGAGCCTGATTCAACCTGACCTCCATCTCATCGCCTCGTTTCCTCTCCTCGTTGACGGCACTAATGGCCTTACCTTCAATCTCCTGCAGCCTTTGCTCATACTCCTGCTCCTGCATTACGAGTCTACTTGACCATTCGTTTCGAATTGAGTCAACTACTCCATGCATTATCTGAAGGTGCCTCTGTTCAGCTTCCCTCATGACTTGCAGGGTATTCCCACTAGTAATCTGGGACAGGTTGTTTTGTATGAAGGTAAAGTACGCGACAACGGGTTGGAACATTGTTTCGTCATCCATCGGCTCGGGGTTGCCCCCGGCCACATTGGGCACAGCGACAGCCGATGGACCTGACCCTGGAACGGCGAGAGGATGGTCAATTGGGGTCCCCATAGCAAAGTAGTGAGACTACGGCTGATAACCTGTATTTTACCAGGTCAGCCAACAATAGTTACAATAACTAGTGGGGCAAGAACAAACCGGTAAGCACTCAGCTCTTTTGAACCAACGCTACAGAGTAGATCGATGATATATACACTACATGGTTTTACTGCAGGAGTTTTTACAACATCATCACATCATGATCATCATCATATTAAAATTTGCCACCCCTCTGAACAATATGTTGGTTGGGGTAATAACATCAACTTTATCTTCATAGCCACCTGAAGTCAGACGCGGCGCAACGTCAGGGTTGCATCGAACTAGTAGGACCATCCATTCACTATATAAATCGGTTAAATCCCTCCATCAAACCCCCACAAGCTGGGGGTCCCCAAACGTTATAAGTTGGTGTATATACCCCATGAAATATAGTTTCATGATGCTTTATCTACTATTAACCATACCCTATGGTAAACTAACAGTTTGCGAACTGGAAAATCACCACTTTATAGCTGGGTAAATCAACTATTTCGACTGGGCCATTTTGTACATTCAATGACCAGAGGGGCCCCACCTAGAAACAAACTCAGCTTTTCTGGGGGCACCTTGCAGCATCCCATGATTTTGGGGCGCCTGCGTGGCGGAGAGCTCAGCGATTTGAGTTTGTCGTTCCTTCACCGTGAGCTCCTCCTGTTCCAACATGTCCTCGTGGCGGTGAAGCATCGGGATTTCATCCAAAATTAGGTCATTTGGTACCTGATAAATTAACATAGACCCTGGCAGTCATCGGGGTTGGAAGATTAGTTTCAACTAACAAATGGGTTATTTTCCCAGAGGGTAGATCGAATGTTGTTGAACGTTGGGATTCGGAATGTCAAGCCATTGCAGAGATTGATAAAGTGCAGGCTGGAGGGGTTGAGCAGACAGCACCAGTCCCTTAACGACCATAGGTTGACCCATCACTTGGATTTGCTTAAAGGGTCCCCCAAAAATACAACATATTCACTATAGATTCCCGAGTCATGGTGGATTAATAAAACATCACCTTAAACAAACCCAGGTATTGTAACCATTGGTTTGCCGATCAACAAATGACCGTGGAGGAATGTGGCAGCCAAGCGGCCAGGAGAGATCTGTTCTGTTCCGACAAGACTCGAATCTGCTCATCGCGCCTCAGCATGGAATGGGAGTCGTGGCTCTTGGGGCTGGGGAATCATCTTCATGATCTTCGTGGTCAAAATCCATATGATTCCATCATCCTGCGAAAGGATAATCAATGATGATAATGATCCATAAAACATCACACCATCCGGCTTTTGTTGAAGATTTCGGGCTAATCTCCACCCAAGGATGGTCGTTTCAGATGTGTAGCGTCTTGAAATATGAGGATAGCTGCTTCTGTGAAATCCGTCATGGAGAGCCGGAAGCTGGTTAGATTGGCGGCTCATCCTCCTTGACATCATCAAATGGGGGATGTCAAAGATACATGGGACATACTTGGTGGCTCATCCCAGGAATCGTAAGTGGCTTCGTTCACCCCAGTTATAAGTTGGGTAGGCTTAGTCCGTCCCAAACAACTGGGGTGAACTCACCTACGATTCCGATTGGGATGAGCCAGCAAGTACTAAGTGTCTAAATCAGCAGTTGCACACAAAAACACGGTGAACACCTTGGTGATCTCGACATGATCCTGTGGAAATCAGAAGCTCACTGGTAGCACGGTTTCCCGGTTTCCAGTCTGCCCTGTCGCCGGCAGAGGCCCACTATTACTGTCGATCGAGTGCCTGTGAAGCATGAGGTTTTGGCGTGATGACATGGGAGGTTAAGCTCTCAAGGGATCCTAAACTAACATAGATATGGAAAACCCATCATTGGCAGATCATTTTCATGGAAACCATGGGTTTTTCACATCTATGTTAGTTTACCGTAGGGTACATCACGTTGAGGCCTTCCATCCTCCCATCAACCAAGGAACTTGTGGATCTCTGCAGCAGAGACGTTGCACTTCTCCTGTCATCAGTGTATCGGATGAAGATGGCTGTCCCACTAACTACTTTGATATATCAAATCTCCCATAAACTCCCAATTCTAAAAGTTATAAACCAATCTAGCTATGGGGCACCACCTTGTGGTGAACACAAGGTTAACCTGGTCTTTATTGATGTTCATCCTCCCAAATATGGTATCCTAGGTTTTGACTTATGCCTACTATATGATGGTTCTGAAATGATCGATGGGGATTTCAAGGCAGTTCTCGGTTGAAAACATGGGTGACCCCTAAATGACCAAAACGGTCATGGTGGCTTCTTCCTGTGCATTTTTAAGCGGCCCATGTCTGAACAAATAAACTTTGCAGTCAAACATATTTCACCAAACTTGGATCATCATCTCCTAACCTTAGCTCCTAGAAACCATGGCTATTCTTAGTGGGACGTTGCTCTGGATCATTCACATCTACCACACGGATCTGAAGAAATGGATGGTCAAAAAAGGGAATCGAATGGACCATTTTTACCATCTAATCTAATTGGGACATATTGGGACCATTCAAATGGTACACAAATATATAGTGGAATCTAATATGTCAATCCTTTCACTTTGGGGGTTGACAATTTGGACCTATACGGGGTGGTGCCCCACACGTAACTAACTTGGCTTATAACCAAAATGCTTGGGCTTATGGCAGAAATATCGATGTTCGATGGGTTTACGAAGCAACAAATAACTGGAGGGAACCAGATTGTCAAATAGTCATTCCCACTGACTAAGTTTGGGTTTCTCATATACATGTATATAATACATATTCATAGATATATACATGTAAATGTATATATATATACATACATACATACATATACACCCATCTCCGATTTCCCCATTGCCAGAATTTTGACAAGGTGTCCTCGGTCTCTGCGAGCTCTTGTTGAAGCTTCCCAAAGTCCGATTGGATCTGCAGGCGCTTCTCCTGGCTTCACATTCCAAGGAAGAAAGGGGGATTTCTGTCCCAAGAAACTAGGGATCCAATGGGATTTCACCAATAAACCATGGTGATTTAATGGAGATACCCTCTGGTTATTTAACGGTTTGCCATGGAAAATCACCATTTTTAATAGGTAAACCATCTATAAATGAAGCATTTTCCATGGCTATGTTAAATAACCCGAGGGTATCTTATTTTGCAATCAAACATAGCAATGGGAAACCCCCTGCGCTGGTGGTAATAGGAAGCATGATCCATAAATGGAGGCTTTTGTTTACCAGAGGGCGGGCCAGGAATTCTCCAGTGGTGCAGTTTTCGACTGAAACCTGGGTGAATCTCCTGATGGAAACCTGTTCTAGTGTCCGTAAGATCATCCCATCTCGTCAATGTCATTAGATTGACCACAACGATGCTGATAACAAAAATAATAATAACAATGATGATTACATCACAATGTGATTAAATAAACAATAATAAACCCATCATTTGGAGATGTTTACCACCCATTTGTGTCAATTTTGGGGGATGTTTACGGCAGTGAGTTTACCCACAATCGCATTAGTCATGTCATAACACATTTATGCTCATTTTCTGTGATAGAGAATTATATTCATTATTGGCTTTACCACATCAGAGTGAAACCAAAAAAATCATGGTTTACCATATTATAAATAATATTGGGTATACCATGCATTGTATTATCAATGGATTGGTTTAAGGGAAAATTTACAGGAAAACCCGATATTTAATGGTAAAAACCATGGTTTCCTGTAAATTTTCCCTTAAACCAATCCAATGATATTACTGAGAATTATTCTGGTACATATCATCCTCAACCGATCCAGTTGCCTCCCACTGTGCGATCGCCGCGAAGGCTTCGTCGCGCTCTTCTTCCACGCGATCCAAGGCTTTCGTGGCCTCGTGGTTTCGGTGTGTCGTCGAAGAATAGGGATTGATATGGGATTCTAATGGGGGAGATCCCCAAGTGATATGAAAAAACTGATATGACAACTTATATCTCCTACATTAGAACATGACATCACATATAACCAACAAGATTGAATGGTATATATATATATATATACGGTCAATATTGAATCGGATATAGGATCTTCAATATCACTATTCTTGGTTGTACATCGTTTAATCTTTTTGGTTATACATATATGTATATATAATGTAAATTTGGGATCTTACTAAACACTGGAGATTTAAATTGAAAGCACACAACGACAAAGGGATTAGAGCAACGAGAATGGGAATAGAAACAAAGAAATACCGGGATACAGACAAACAGACAAAAACAAGGGAACGGGTTTAAGCAGCAAACATGGTAGAGAACCAAACCTTATTGGCTGGTTGGCCACAAGCAAAAGCAACAGAGCGTCATACCATGGGACCCCAAACGTCGTAAAATATCAGCCAGAGTAGTGGGTGGGTACGGTAAGGCAAGCTCAAAAACAGAGAAATGACCCAAGAATCCTTGCAGTTGAACCAATTTGAGTAACCTTAGATAGCCTTTTCCACCTCGGATCGAGCTGAGGATTCATATCGCAAAAAGTCACCGACTCCAGGGAGCCGGGCATCTTTATTTTGTTCCTGGAGGAAACGGACATTGTTATACCTGCGACGGAGCTGCTCAGTGACGTCCTGGTTTAGTTTTCATGAAACATCTAGAAAATCATACATTATTCATACATGTTTTCTACAGATGTATGAATTTCTACATGAATAATGTATGATTTTACAATCATTTATGTAAAGGGAACCAGATGGAAGCAGCAAGAAACTTTTGAAAAGACATGATCCCAGTGCCAAATCTTCCAAACGGCACCTGAAGTTCTCATGTTGCTTGTCTCCTTGTGGCTTTTGCCACGTATGTGTTCCAGCTAGACTTCCATCTGCAGTACCTAAGCGCACAGCCAGCTGGGAAAACAAAGCATATCTAAGGAGCTGCTGAAGAGCTGCTGAATCTACACGTGACACATCTGAGGAATCTTAGATGACGTAGTTGAGAGCTGTCCATGGCAATCCCTCCACCGGTCAAACACCCAAGCAACTCTTGGCACAGCCACCTCTTGCTTTTTCTCGGGATCACTCTTGGGCTTTGGAAGATGATATTCCTACAAGACTAGAAGATGTGGCTATGTAGATCTATCTTCGCTGGCCATAGCCGTATATATATATATATAGCCGTGTATAAATACAAATCATACCGTCACCGGAGTAAAAGATAGCTACACATGAAATTACCCTCTGATGATTTAACATAGCTATTGAACATGGCCATAGAAATAGTTGATTTACCCATTAATAGCATGGTGATTTTCCAGTTCGTTATGTAAACATTTACCAGAGGGTATATTACAGAACAATGTCATGTCATCTCATCTGACATCAACTGAATGAAGCTTCTGCCGTTCCCTTGACATTGAATTTTGGTCCATACCGTTCTCTCCAAATTTACCATCTGTTTGCTGTTAATATCCAATCTAACTGCCCATATACAACTAGCTTACAGGAAGGATACAGAGGTAGCCAGGATGAAATAGACATGGTTGCTACCATCCATAGATTACCATGTCTGATTGTCCTTGTAGGATGGTTATACAACTAATCCATGGAAATCCTATATATCATTTTTAAAAGTAGGATCTATGATAATAATGATAATAATTATATGATAATTATATGATATAGGATTGTTCCCCCAAAAGATACACATTTCCATGACTTGTTTGGATCTCACATAGACACCTGACGGTAACATTGGAACACTGGCAGCTGAGACAAAGACCTCCGAACTCGCCTCAATCGGAAACATCGACCAGGTTCCACGTCGCATGTACCGTGGAAACCGATGACATATGGTTTGATTTAAAGAAAACCATGAGATATGAAGAATTTGCAGGTCACCAATTCTTTTTCCAAAACCATTGGAATCATTGGAACTTTCTTGTGAGATTTCACTCAAAAGGCCCCAAAGCTTGACAGCTCCATCGCAACGTTGCGCGCCTTCCAGGCTTCTCTCCTGCCTTTCTAGGGCTTGGGCATCAGCCATTGCCGGTGAAACTGAATTGAAAGCTGAGCCGAAAGCCGCAACCCCGTCCCTGGATCCACATCCATTTCACGACACCACGACACTGTGAAGAGATGTGGATCACATTTCCGAACTACTCATGCTTCAAGTATCTGCAATCATCTCAAACCAAATCAAATGCACAATCAAGTGCCCGTGTTCACTACAAACTCCACTACTCCACTGGCTGTCCAACTCTTTCATCCTTGGTCGCTGCTGCTAGCGCACTTCGAAGAGACCAAGGGCTGGGACATTTTTTTTGAAAACCTGCAGGTATCATCTGACCCATCATTGTTGAAGTATCCTCATTTCCTATTGATGCATTGGTGAAACCTGGCAATTTGTTGCTGGATATGAGATTTTGGTCATAATGTGATGCAGCCTGCAACAGCAACCTTTTTGAGCGGCAATTTGCAGGTTGAAGTACCGATCTCCTTAAACGTAGGGGGGTTGAGGATGGTTACCAATGTTGGCACAAGAACTTGGGGTTTTCCTGGGATGACAGCCAAGATGGATCCATCTAAGGCCTTTCCGCACCAGTGAACCATAGATCCAATGCCCAGCTACTGCCACATCTCCAACCAGCTACACAACGTCAATTTTGGCGTATTAGGCGAGATTTCTTGGGTCGGGCATCGGGATCATCAGGATGACAATAGCAACAAAAACAATAAGAACCACAATGCTAATGAGCATGTTCATACTCATGGATAATGATAGTAATAGGGGTGTGGGCGTCCCCGGGGATTTTTTTTCAGATTTGTACCCGTAATAGTAAGACATAGCAACCTTAGTAGTGACAATAAATATACTGATAATAGGAGCGGAAAAATCAGTAATCATCAACATCTGCAAAATAGGTTCCTTGAACATAAAAATTAATTACCCTCAGGTCCATTGGTTTATCATCATTTTCCCCATTAATTTAGTCATTTGGGTCATTTGGGGGTATACCTAACTGTCAGACACACCCAAACATCATTTCAAGTTCGTTATATGTCCCATTGTCTCATTATATCCCCATCATGGTTGATTATGACTCCTCCTCGGTTAATCCCATCCAACCCCATCAAATCACCAATAATCCCATTATGGTTCGGTAAAATGGTTGGTATCCCAATAAACCTATTGTGGTAACATTCCTCCTTGGTGAATCCCATCAAATCCCATTCATTTACCAACGAGTCACCAATAATCTCTTCTGGTTATATTCCGGTTATTGGGATTCTTGTTATAACCAACAATCACCGGTGATTGGGATTCTGGTGATCAAATCATATCAAATCACCAATAAACCCATCTGGTTATCAAATCGCTAATAATCCACAGATCCAGATTCTGGTGATCAAATCGCTAATAATCCACAAACCCATTCTGGTGATCAAATCACCAATAAACCCTATCTCTGGTATTTTGGTTATTGCCACAGATCCCCGCCGGTCCTCACAGAGATCGGCCACTCGCAATTGCCCCAGGGTGCCACTCAGCGCAGGTGGCAGCAGGAGATCCAGGACACCCCACCTGGGGAACTTGGGACCGAGGCTGGCTCCTTAGGTAACATGGTGATTTTTGGCGGGATAATTTGGAATAATAATTAATGAATGATTTTTGGTTTGATGATTTTAGTTATGCTCAAGTTTTAGAATAATTATGATGTGCATAACCCTCTTCAATGGCCTTCGTTTTTGTTCAGATTCTGCTAAAAACCAGGCACGGGGATGCGGCGAAAAACATGGAACAATCTTAGATTGGAATTTTGCGCCGTACCACTCTAACCCTCTGGTAATAAAGTGGCAATGGGAAAAACACCTATAAATGGAGGAAACTTGCCAGGTTTAATTACTGGAAGGTAAGCCTTTCAGTCTACAAAAGACATTTGATAAACCATGAATTCTGGCGTTTCAATCATCCCAAGAACATTGGGATGGATTATCTGCAGCCTCTTCGGGCCGACCATCCCGGATAAGGCACATGCAAAAATGGCAAAACGTGTTTGGAAAGTAACAACAATACAGTGGGATAAACCTGCATTTTGTGTTGACCTTTCCATGTCTTTGATGTTTGAAACCGCCCGCCACCAAGCAAATGTCCTCTGGAACTTCTAAGCAATTCCTCTGATGTGGTAATTTCAAAAACCAGATCCCATTTACTTTAAGACCACATAATCCAAGGTTTCAACAACCATGTTTGAATATCTTCATCGTCTAAAAAAATCATGGTTTTCCGCACCAAAATTGCTGTGACTTTGGACCACCAAACAGTACCCCAACAAATCCCCAAACTATTCCTTTTTTTGGGATGAAAAAATGATGCTATGGCTACATCATCTGGTATGCTCAAAACGTTAGTCATGGTACTAATGTAACCCAAGAACAAACCATGCTCACTTTTACTCAAATTCGGAGGTAAGTCAGAACCTTGTAATAACCATAAAAAAAGCTGGTTGGTGGTTTCAACCGCCTTGAACAATGTGCTCTTCATTGGGAATCATCATCCCATTTCTATGGTTGAATATCAACATGGTTCAAGCCACCAGCCATCATCCGATGGCTAAATCACATTCAAAACCGGCTTTATTGGCTTGTAACTCCCAGTGAGTTCCTTATTTTTGGTTGATTAGACCCCCAAATTGCTTATTGCCAGTAGTACTGCGCAAGGCGGTAGCAGAAGTTTCAAAGATAGCAAACCTATGGGAGAGGTTTGTTGTTGTGAATCACCAGTAGCAGAGCGAATCCACTGATGGGCCGAAAGGTGGTTGGAATTGTGTTTTTGGAGTAGTTGCAATTGTTGCAGTGGTCACCTCACCCACAACTGCTGGATGTCGGGTGGTGTAGTGTAGTTGTAGTTTAGTACACAGTGTAGTGTAGTGTAGTGAAGTGAAGTGTAGTGTAGTGTTGTGTGCTGTAGTGTAGTGTTGTGTGCTGTAGTGTAGTAAAGTGTAGTGTAGTGTAGTCTGAAATAGTGTAGGTGTAGTTGTAGCTGTCATTGTAGTGTAGTGAGTGTGGTGTAGTGTAATGTAGTATAGTGTAGTCTAGCGTAGTGTAGCTGTAGCTGTCGCTGTAGCTGTAGTGTAGTGTAATTAGTGTAGTGTAGTGTTGTGCAATGTAGTGTAGTTGTAGTTGTAGCTGTAGTTGTATTTGAAGTGTACTGGTGTAGTGCATTTAGTGTAGTGTAGTGCAGTTGTAGTTGAAGATGTAGCTGTAGTTGTAGTGTGCCGTAGTTGTAATGTCATTAGTGTAGTGCGATGTAGCGTAGTGTATTTGTACATGTATTTGAAGTTGTAGTTGTAGTAGTCATGTAGTTGTAGTTGTAGTTGTAGTTGTAGTTGTCTATATATCTATCCGTCTATCTGCGAGCTTGAAATTGAAGCTATTCTGCGAGACTTCCACAATTTTGGAAGCTGACAACGTCAAAAGCGAAGAAATTCTGCCAGACTTCTTCAATTTTCGATGTTGACAACATAAAAGACAAAGCAATTCTGCGAGGCTTCCCCAATTTTCGAAGTTGACAACATCAAAAAAAGAGGCAATTCTGCGAGACGTCCTTCAAGAATCGAAAGTTGAGTGCAGAGCTGACGGCCTCGTACCAATGCGTTCTGCGATTATTTCATTCCATCTGTCTAAAGTATTGCCCCTGCCACGAAAACGTGAGACCAGGTTATACGAAGTGTTGCACCTGTCACGCGAAATCATCTTGTCGAACCTGGGGATCTGATGCTCCAAAATTCAACCCCTCTCAGGAAATCAGCGCCAGGATCTCCATGACATGTCTGACTCATGTGTCTCTCGTGCTGCCCCTGCCAGGCAAAGGCATCTTTGCAGATCCGCTTCAAATGCCCCATCCTGCCAACGTTTTTGAAATTCCTGCAAAACCATAACTTCAACATCTAAACTTCCAAGAGTGCTCCGACAATGAAGTGTTTTAAGCATTTTGACTTCCAAATCAGCTTCGCGCCACAATGGTGTGCAATTTTTTATATCTCATCTCCTCAGATGGTTCCGCGCCCGCTGCTTTAGTGAGCCTACTTTTCGACCCTCCCGAGCCATACCTTTTCGCGCACCTGCATCTTCTTTCTTTTGACTCTTTCTTCTGACTCTTTCTCTTCTCTGATCTTCTTTCTTCTTCTCTTCTCTTCTCTGACTCTTCCCACCTCTGCTTTTTCATCTTTCCATATTGTCGGTAGTTTGACTTCTAAACTTCCTTTGGTTAAGGTCTATTGCTAGGTTTACCCAATTACCATCTGATAATTTAAGACGGCAATGGGCAATCCAAACTTTTTAATCACTAAATGGAAGATTGTCCACTGCCAGGTTAAATCCATGTAAATGTATACAAACGAAAGAAATCCTAATATTCTGGGTTGATGTTGGTGAAGCTTTGGGAAAACTAGAGTAGACTCCCAAGAAATGGCCACCCCCAGCGCACCTGGCATGCTGACGCTTTTGGAACCTAGCCAACGACGTTCTCGATTCCCGGGTGAGATCTCAGCGTTCAAACGGGCTGTTTCCCTGCTGCATTTCACCAGCCAACCCCAAGTTCATAAATCTCCTGTCATGAAGATCATTATTAAGGGATGCTAAGGGGGTTTAGGTAATAGTCATCATTCCAAATATAAATGGCGTCATACTAAAAAACGGGTGGTTTATTGATCCAGGGTTGACACTTCTGAGTGTATGTCTGGTTTGCCTTTCGCAACTTTTCAAGAGGGACTGCTACTCTGTGGTGACCCTCAAAAAAATGACGCGTTGGCGGGTTGGTGTGTGGTTGGAACACATTCTGCAAATATTGGTCAACTAAGGTTATCATCCCACACGGGACGGGAGGGGACATATGAAATATCGCGAGCAAACACATGGATATAATTTCCACAGCGACCTGAGTATTTGGAAACAGTTGCGCCTTTGAACCTATCTGCCAACCATGCAAACTGTTACCAGGTCTGATTCATGCCTTTAGCTTGTTGCGAAAAATTAACATATGGCGCTGGCTACATGGTCAGATACCAAGCCTGACTGAAGTGATAGCATGTGATCCCATACAGGATTCCAGCCGCAATCCCAATCAGAATTACGCACATAATCTTTCAAGACCCTCAGTAACCTCAGTTTTGAACGGATATCATATTCGCCCACGTGGTAAAACCTCCGATTTCTGGACGCAAATACCGTATCCAAGAGACACCACGATAGCAGCGGATGGTGAAAGCCAGTTTGTTGGGCCTGTCTGTGAATCTCAAGGGGAAGGAATCTGGAACAAACCAATTTCGAATCATGTCGATGCAACATCCAATCCGGTTTAGAAAAGCAACATATTACCACCTGGAATTTCTGAAGTGAACTGTAGCTACGGATTAGACATATACCAATCTATTCACTATCATCCATTGAAATGACCTCAGTGACAAAATTCGGAGGTAGTTCTGTGGTTTGTTTTCAAGATGGCACAAAATATCAAATGTCAATGTGTCCAAACTAGAATGAATCGTTCCAACTAACGTTGGCCAATGATTTCTGGGATTCTGACCTCCAGATTGCGGGATTCCTCCTGAAATGGCTGTCTTCCCGAAGCTGACGTGAAAGGACTGCTGAATGAGCACTTGTGGATCCACGAAAGCAGCTCCCAAATGATTCATTTGAACAAGTGACTTGGTCCGGGCCAATGATTGGCCTTAAACTTGCTTAGAATCCAGGCTATTCAATGTGATTCTCCAAGAGTTTTAGGCACAACCTACCAATACGTGGAGAACGCATCTGACCACAATAAAAAAACAAACCATCCAACAGCAGGCTGGTCTAGTTGAGAAATGTGGATATGACCAATAAGCAGGGATCCTTATATTTCCTCTACGCATTACCTTTTTCTCGGGTATTCAATCCGATTTCTTCATCCCCAAATTGGAAAGTATGAGGTTTGGTAGCCAGGGAAGAATTGGCAATCAACATGTCAATGTGTTCTTTTTTGCCTTGGTGATAATCCTCTACCCCTACCCACTAGTTTTGGCTGGTAACTGGTGCTTGTTGGCTCCCGACCTAGGATTTTTCACCATCCCTGGGCCCTTGGCTCATCCACTACCTACCGATAGATTTTCATGGGAAATCTTCAGCACCCCATGATCCCCACAATACCCCCTCAATGATTGATGATGAATGATTGAGCTAGCCTCAATAAAACCAGCATTTGTGGTTGAATCACAACACTTTTGGTGGTTCGATCATCCCATTTCATCAATGACCCCATCCCCTGACTGCTAAAGCCTCTACAGGACCCAAAATAAACCGATCTTTTTTGGTGTTACTCATATCAATGGGGGAAGGGGAAAATTGCGAAGATAGTCTCCCATGAACATCGCCACTTTCTCCGGCATTCCCCATGGCCAAAAATCATGAACTAGTTACCATAGTACCAGCAATTAATAATTAATAACCATCAATGGCGAATAGTCAATATAGAATGCAACTGGTAGCCAGTACTGTTTTTATCAAAAGTTATAACTAGTAATAGTCATGATTAAAAAGACAACTTGTAATGCCTGGTAAAAGCACGTACAAACTATTATCACAAATTGATAACCAATGGTTCTTGTCATTGTTCATGACTGTTACATTGGTTTAACAACAATCGTTGAAAACCATCAGTCAATGGCAGTAGTAACCTGTAGCCATGACCGTTGACTATAACAATGGCAATTTACTATAGTCAAAACCACTAGGTAGTAACTTTTATTGATTATTGTGATTTGATTAACAATCAATCATACTTATTCATCGCCAAACTCATTTGGGATTCGCCTCTAATAACCATTCCTGCCTAATGATAGCCATTATATCAACATGGTCAATCGTTAATCACTACATTACCATCAAAATAGTGAAGTCCAGAACTGGTTATTAAAAACCGTAGTGGCTATCATCTCATAGTTCCTCAGCTAACACTATTAAAAGCACAAATGAACTAACAGTAGCTAACCATGAATGAGTACCCTTTACGTTATTGATACTAGCCAATATTAGTTACCCTCCTGCAAACTAACGCAGCTATGGAAAATGGTAGATAGATAGATAGATAGATAGATAGAGAGAGAGAGATAGATAGATAGATAGATAGATTGATTCAATTTAGTGGCAATTTCCTATGTTTTTCCACATATTTTCCTGAGCCTATGACTGTCACATGCTTTTCCTATACAAAACAAACGATTTTCATAGCCATGCTGGATTAGTCAAAGCCATGGGGATGTCATTCATGGCTCCTCAGCCTCCGCGAGGAACGCCATCTCAGCGTCGTTCTTCTCCACGGTCCCCGCGGTCACGACGGCCCGGTGGGTCGCCGAGGCCAGGAGCCGCCAGCGACCAGCGGCCTTTTCAAAGTGGGGGTTGAAAACCTGTATCACCTGGAACCGAAAAAATGGAGATTTATGGGACTTGACCTGGTAAACATGGACATCTCACCAGTCAGCAAGGTGGAGTTGGAATATTTCATGCCCGAAAATGTCGTAGCTTAGCACATTCAAACTCACCAGCCAAGGTTTACCCAATGGGGCAGGGCCGATGACCGGCCCAGTGAAACATAACCATGGACAGGGGTAACGTCTGCAAAGAAGCATGTGAAGGTGATGTTAAGACTTGAAACCTGGATGTTTACCAGACCAAATATGAGGAAAACAGCATCTGGATCGACCATTTAGCAATTCAAGTCTTGAGTGAGCATAGCAAAGAAAAAATCACGAAGTTTTAGACTCTGTGCCTACTAGATCTACTAGAAATGGGGTGTCCATAGGGTGATTCAAAAAAGTAGTAAAATGGGACTTCATCGAAGCGGGTCAATTCCCATATTTTCACCATTAGTAGCAAAATTTCCCCGCCATTTACTGGTATCCATCAGGCTAAACGCAACTATTCAATATCACGGGCATCCCAATTGTACATCGAGTCATGTCCCCGCCTGACATGCGTAGCTGGCCGCCATCTGTGCCCCCAATGCCCTTGGCGCAGCACAGCCCAGCGCTGCGCGCCAATGGTGTGCCCGGGCACAACCCAATGCCTTGGTGGTGAAAATTGGCTGTTTGGCTGGTGAGACATAGAGAATTTCCATCAGAAAAACTGGGGATTTAATGTAAATTGCAACAAACATGAATTTACGTTGAAAAGTGGGTTGCCGCTGGTCATGCCCTCTGGTGTTCCAAGACTACAAAAATACAAGTTTTGGTTCAGTTGCTGAATAAGCTAGATTGGTGGCGGGTACCGCAGCATGAAGATGAAATCAGCAATCAGGGTGATTTATTGCTTTATATGCTTGATGTTGTTGCGGAAAAAGTATGGGCAGATGTGGCATAACACGCGGGAGCAGGCCATCGGTGGAACGGCCAGTGAGTGTAGGCTTAGTTGATGTGACCCAACGAAGCATGTGCTAAACCAAGAAGCCATTGAGAACTTTACCGATGATCTCTGAAGTTGGCGATTGCCAAGTACCCTATATCCTCTGGGTGATGACGGGTGCCGCAGGGGTGAACACATGTTGGCTGTGGGGATATTGTTTCACAGACTTGGTTGGGGGTATGAGCCAAGGAAAAAACAGTTTTGATCGCTATCTTTAGCTTCCATCATTTTCGAATGGGCCCCCAAACGGCTGTTTGCCAGGCGGCCAGTGCGCCAAGCTCAGCATGATCACTGGGGAGCTCTTGGAGGGCAAGGGCCCAAGCTCCAGGCGCTTCACCTGTGAATTCTTTGATGCAAAAAAGAGAAGTTAAGAGAAAGATGGTTAGAAAGATGTGATGACGATGATGATGGTGATGATGATGGTGGTGGTGATGATGATGGTGAAAGGTGGTTTTGGCTGGAATCAACGACCTTATGGAGGTAGCTCTTGAATTTCCGTGTGTAGTTTTGTGTTGGAAAGACACTGCGCGTGATCACCAGGAAGGTGTTTTCTCAATACAAGCAGAGGCAAACACCACCAAACACATGAATCCTTTTTGGGCATGTTCTGAGCAGTATTTTCTAAAACTTGTTGACCAGGTTCAATTTTGTCTGGGGTATGGGGAAGCATATGGCACCATAAAATGGTAATGTTGAACATTGTAGAAACGTATGGGCCCCTGGGCTTTCATGTGGGGGGAACAAGCAATCCTAATTGGTGCTTTTAACTCATTCCGCAAAATATGAAAACTCATTGGGATCATCATCCTAAATAAGATGGATGAAAACAAAAACCATATTTGAAAATACCAACCAATCGGCTATATACCCACTTGACGGTAGTGCAAACCTCAGTCTTGTTGGTAAAACACATGTGCGCTAGAAAAAATCATTCGTTTTTGGCACTTTTTGTCGGTAAAACTCAAAAACCCAAGGCTCTTACTGAATAAGATGGACTCAGAGCTTTCCTTCCCACCTGTGCCATTTGAACGCATGCTGCTCCGCCGTGCACCAGAGCGTAGGGCGCGCAGCGTCAGCTGGTTGGGTTCCAAGCGCTTTTGGTGCAGTGAGACAAGCAGGTCCTGTGGCGAGCTGCTGTTGCACTGATGGGCTACTGCTAGGAGTAACGAGGGGCATACTCCAGTGGTGGCTTTTAAAGGGCCTATCTTGTTACAGCTGAAAAGAAAAAGAAAACCTTTACCAGGATGTTTTGGACATGGACGATATTGGCTTCATGTTTCCGGGCTCAACTTTTCTGCTTTTGTATTTCTGACCTGCTGCGACGTGAGCCAAAACCCTGGGTCGCTTAACTTGGGTGAACCCCAATCAAAAAGCCACTGGTCACTACTTGGCGGGATCCCGGCAAATGAACCAACGAGGTTTAGCGGCTTCAGCTACCCATCTTTCATTAAGCTCGTTTGAAACTACCAACCCCTCATTGGAGATAGACTCAGTCCACTCCGTTTTGTTGGCTTTGCCTGCAAACCATCTCATAGTTGACATCCCGCTAAACAAATTTGCATGACAGCACCGCCACCAGCTGCCACCCAGCAAAAAAGTCCTGTGCTGGGATGGTGTGAGCCAGGCTCGTGTAAGTGACCTGTGAGGTTCCAAAACTAAATCGACCGTCAATCAAAGTGGTCAACACCCAGGACTTGGGGGCACTTGAGTCAGCAGTGTTATCATGCCTGACATGCCTTGTGCTGTGACAACTCTGGCGTGTTGGGCATGTTGGAAACGGACTATCATTGCAACCTCAGCCAGAAACTGGCCCCAGGTTAAGATGGATTCTTGGCTTGCGAGCTGGCCAGTTGCCTCTTTCTCGCAGACTAACCGAGAAAATGACTGATCCGCTTCCCCCGCACATCTAGCATTGTTTTTGGGGGATCATGGGGCTGGGATGATGACAAGGTTCCATACCCACATTCATCCCTTCTTAAGCCGAGTCGCCACATCTTGACGATCGCCCAGCGAGTCTGCCAACTGCAGGGCTACTCGATGGGCTCGCGGCTGGCGGCTGCGGGTCCGGATGGAAATGGCCGCGTTACGACCTCAGCGACGGGGACGACATGGGTTCGGGTCTTCGAAATGGGGGCAAGAAGGTGTCTATAGAATCTTGGGTTCTATATTGAAGCAAACATTTCGGAGGAAACATTGGGAACCAGCATGACACGGAAAATTTAAGGGGATATGGCGGAGATAAGCTTGGGAATTCCTTGGATATAATAAGCACCGGCAATTTGATATGGGTTTTACCGGGAAATTTAAAATATTTCTTCCGTTTTGCACACAAGTGAGCTGGGGACGTGAGATTTGACTCCGTGACCTTTTGAACCCTTTTTTTGGTGACAAAGCCACACAAGTGTCCCTGGTGCATCAAAGCCATGACTGGTTGATCCACCCCCTTGAAGCATAGAGACTCAATTGGGATGACCATCCCAGGCTGGAAATGAAATCGCAGTAGAAACTACAAGTCAGACTATATTGGTAGCTCTTCGACTGCGAATAGAAAATGGTGAAAACCAGACAACGTTCCAAGAGATGGAAACCACAAATCGCCGCATATCAAGTAAACACACACACACACATAAACACTGCGGCTGTCCCTGAAAACACCATCCAACACAAAAATGAAGGATACCAAATCTGGAGAGACATATTCAAGGCCCATTCTTGGCGGTCTTGGGGTGTCAACTCTATGTTTGCTGACTATATTATTTCTTTGATGATTTTTACCCCTCCCCCCCGTCTATTCCTTACATGCCCGTCAAACCTGCAGCGACCAACCAACCAACCAAAAACCGTTTTTAATGGTATGTTGGTCGCAAGCAAAAAGGGTTCCCCCCTGTGCGTCTTCTCACTGGCTTGTCCCATACCCACGTGGGCCCTTGAATCACAACCTTTTGTTTCAATCCCTGACCTCACTGGTTTGCCGTGGGCATTGGGATTGCCCAGCATTTGGTGGTTCACAGCCGTTTGCTCCATTGAATTTTTGTCTAGCTAATCGCCATTCTTGTTGGTTCTTGCCGGCTGCATCCGCATGTACAACCTATTGTGGATCAACAATAATGAACCATCCGCAATTTGCGGTTTATCATTGTGTGCAAGCTCCGGCTTGGGAAGGATGATTCAACATACTCCTGAAATCGTTGATGCTTGGAGATGGTTTATGGTTTTGTGGTTCCCACGACCCCCTTGTTGTTGGTTAATCCCTATTTCTTTTTCCCATATTTATTGCTCACCAAATGGCCCATTACATTCCTTGTTTACACCTGGTGGTTTGTTGAGCCCCTCCTCACGGATAAGCTTTGGTAGGACAAATTGTAAACCCATATAATCCCATGCATGCTAAAAACCTAGACCTGCATGCAGCCCAACCCGTCCCAGTGTGTTGAGTCAAACGGGAATGGGTGCCATAGATTCTCAGGTCTATCTTATTGTATTTCTAATTGATAGGCAGCCGTTGTATTCCTCAACGACCTTAATGTTATCCCATGAGCTATGCCATGCTATCATTAACCGTTGGTACACCTTTGTAGTTGGTACACCTTTGTATCCCCCATTGATCGCTCCCAGTTAATCCATTAAGTAAGACTAAATTACACCCCCGGGATGTAGCCCCCGTACTAGCTAGGAAACACATCACCGGACCCCGGTCCCGTGCAGTGCAGCCCAGCTGCTGGACACTCCACCGCACGTCGCCAATCGCAACACCTGTGAAAGCTGCAGGGCACGCCCGCAAGCGACAATGGCAGCACTGTAGGTGGCCTTGGCGAAAAAAGCGGGGAACGTACCAAGGAGGATCTCACCGGAAAAATAAAGAACATGAAGGTTTATGTACGTTTAAGTCAGCAAGGGGAATTCATCAGGTATAATAGGGTTCACAATGCGGATTTCAATGCTGCGATGTTTGAGCATGCGGAAACATGCGGAATCAAAAGATGAACGCAGGCATTTGCAAAATTGCAAAAGGAAAACGTCAGAATTTTGACATCAAACTTAAGTATTTCCCAATCAAACATGGGCATCTGGGGATCAAAAGACAATGCGCTAGCGGGACCACGGAGAAAGACGAATGATTTTCTACACCCCAGCTGATAAACCCATGTTTGAATATGATGCGGGTGGACCCTGATAGGAAGGAGGCGCTGTTTTCCCTCAAAGGCAACCCTGGTAAATAGAGCCCATCTTTTGAACCGATGGGCTTCAGTTGCAGTGCTTGTCGAGTGCGACTAAGCCCTTACACAGCAAGAATCAGCAGCACCAAAGAAGCGAGGATTTTGTATTCTATCCCATTCATGAGGCCCCAGAGTTTGGAAGGTTGTTCATGATCGGGGAAATGGGATTGCATCTGTGCATTTTTTTCCCCAGGGATTTACTGAACGCAGGTTTGTGGAAGTCATGTAATCACTTTTTCTGCTGAAACCCCAAATCATGATTGTGGGATGCTGGCCTGTTGCATCATTTGGGGTTTACTGTCTCCAGCCTTGCAGGTTCGTATTCCGTATTCTTGTTGGCTAAATCCACGGAACATGAAGAGGATGGCATTACTAATCTAGATGCCAACTTTCCTGGTAAATTCTCAGATGCCTTGCATGTATTCTTAGTTGGTTACTATGTATTACCACGTATGGCAAAAATATAAAAACATCACAATGTCCTTCACCAACGTTTAACCTGGGCAAAGAAGGCCATTTGGGGATGATTTCCTTCACGAACCATGATTCCAGTGAGGACACTGTGAGGTCACTACAACTCACCTAATATATATATATATATATATATATATTCATGGTTCATACTATCTATGAGGTAATTTACCTAATTTAATGTAACTATCCATGAAACCGTACAGCCCCCGGGACAGCTTTGCCACCTCTCAAGGCACGTCGTCGGGCCGCAGCGGCCGCAGTGGGCTGCCCATGGCCTCGAGCAAGTGCAACGTCAAGCGCCAACAGCTGCCGCCTCGAGGAAAGTGAGGTTGCTGCAAGATGGGTTTATGAGATTTTATTAGCTACTGAAAGCAACTTTTACAAGAGTATATATATATATACTTATATATATGTATTACCTCTCTCTCTCTCTCTCTGCCTGCATGTCTGCATGTAAGTATCTACATCTTGACATGCGTGATCATGAAGATCACAGCGGGAAAAAGGCTTATATTCACCGGGGCTGAAAGTTGAAGGATGCCTGTATCCGCTTTAAGGAACACAGGCCTCACGTCTTGCGACAAGGAGCCTGCAAGGCCGTGCTGTAGCGTGTTGTAGGAGATCAAGTCCAATGGAATCTGTAGTTGTCGTTGTGCACCTGCAGAGAACTGACCGCGGAGCCATCACAAAAGGGTCTGATTGGGTTCCGAATTTGCTGTGTTTGGCAGTTGCAAGTTGGCTGCCGGTAGTCATCATCCCATCAAAAATTGGGGGTGGCAAATCAATGCTGATATCATCCGTTCATCCATCGCGCAGGATCCACTTCTGCCATGGCTGAAATTATTCTTGCGAATCGACCGCTCTGAGCACCAAGGATACCCATTGTGGACATTGCTAGTTTAAGTGCTTCACTTTTCCGACTTTATTTAGAAAGCAAGCCGTGCACGGCTTCATCCTCCAGAAGACAGCATCAATCCTTCCAGGTATTTACGAATTTCCAAATTGAACAACAGCGTCCAGTGACAACTGGCGACAACAACAGTTCCCCCGGCAACAGTGAGCCAGTTTTTTGGGATATCCCCATTGTCGTCGGCGGCGCCATTCTCCAAAACAATGTTGTTTTTTTTCCGTATTTGCTGGCAGCTTCCCCGGTGCAAGCCAACCGCACCTAGCAAAGCCAGACCCTGTGCCCATTGCTTCGCTGACGCCAATGCAATTCCGGTGGTGTTGAAGGACACGGAGTTCTGGTGTTCTGCCTCGTGGGACAATAGGGCTGAATTTAAATCACATGTACGCGTACATATGCGTATGCCAAAACGCAACTTTATGTATTTTGCAGGTACCTAATGGCATTCACTTAGGTCCAAGGATCAGGACGACTTTTTGGATCACTTAGGCCGACAATCTTGGATGTGGATTCAAACCTTTAGGGTTTATATTTAGGGGGGACTGGGGACTGGGGACAGTGGGGACAACTAGAGGTACAGGACATGACCTAAAACATATCGGAGACGACCTAACTCATATTGGAGTCCATTGGCTACATACCTGCAGGGTTATTTAGGGGGGAACGAACTGGGGACTGGGGACAATGCGAACAACCAGAGGCACAAGACACGACCTAAAACATATTGGAGTCCAGTGGCTACACTTACACACCTGTGGGGACTGGGGACTAGGGACACTGGGAACAACTAGAAGTACAGGAGACGACCTAACTCATATTGAAGTCCATTGGCTCTAGGGTTTGTATTTGGGGGGGAACTGGGGACTGGGGTGGGGTAGCAATCCCCTGTTTTAGGGGCCCTGGATACCGTCCTAAGACTAACACCTACGAGTCACACCGAAGAGCAGCGCGTTTTTTTTAAATGGAGCTATGCTACCGTCTTGAGCCACGGAGTGGAGCAGGGGATGATAAGAATTAAGTGATTTACAGGCACATACATGTACACTACTAAGCATTGCAAAGACACGGAAGCAGCTACAAAAAGGATCACATGGCGACTGGGGACACTGGGAACAACTAACTCACGACCTAAATCATATCGGAGTCCATTGGCTACACACCTGCAGAATGATGATATTGATGGTGGATGTGAGGATGGTAACAATTGTGATGATTTTTGTGATGGACTTGATGTTTGATCTGAGGACGAATAGTAAAGTAGGTGATGGATTAGGTCCTGAACATGATGATGGGTGTGATGCTGATGATGATGATGATGATGATGAAGACGGTAAGGATGATGATCATGATGATGGTGATGGATGGCGATGCTGGTGTTGATGAGCTGGTGCCTGTTACTGACTAGTCAGTTCGGATGAACACTATATATTTAATAGATAGCATAGAATGCATTTGTAAGTATATGACATAATCAGAATGTCCCGATGATCATCTTTCAATCCACTTGTGCATGTCTGTCGAAATCATGTTTGGATATATCGATATATTTTTCTATTGCAAATATAAGCATGTATCTGTGACGTAGGCCTAAGCGAGCCAAAACGTAGGCCCAAGCGAGGTACTGACCTCTTTTATTAGATGTGCACGTATATGTACATGTATATGTAATGTGTCTACATAGGTCAACAAAATTGAAACGCAAATATGATAATATGCATATATGGAAATACGTTTTATGCAAATGCGTCCATAAGCATTCACAGGGTACATGTTCCGTTCACAATCGAAATTTCGAATGGTGGTTCGAACATCACTTTGCCGGCCAAAACGTATGCCGGAAAACTGGCAGCTAGTCTGCCATTTTGCGAACAGAAAAACGTGGTCTTTGGCACCTCGAACAGAAGGCCCAAAGCAACTTGCCAAGCAACACCTTGTTGCACTGGAGGAGGATTTTTGATGCCGCTGGCTCTGTTCAAGAATGGAGGATTTTTCCCTACGACATGGGCATCAAAAATTGGCGATCACAAATGGTTGAAAAACAATAGCCCACCAGATTTTCGCTTACTGTTAGCAACAAACTTTTAAGTTAAACCGTTCAAAACAAATGGTCGTTCGCTTCCTAAACCAGGGAAGCATTGAAAATATGATTGGGATATTGGCTCGCTAGCATTGGAAAAACGGCTTTTTTGACCACATCCCCAGAATCAAAAAACACCCACCAGGATTCATGTCTCCATCTTTTTGCATGTCACTGAGAATAGACTGTCAGATAATCAATCACCCCAGTTGCCCATGATTAAAATGTGATCAAGTTCCACATCCCCAAAAACAATATCAATCGGCACTGGCTGTCTCCCCGGCCAAGGGGATGCCGTCGTTACAGTGTCAAAGGGTATTGCACCCCGAACCGATAGGCAGGTTACATGCTGGAGTGTCTGAAATGTTCGAAAACCCAGAGGCGTGCCATCTTCAGTTACTCATGTTGTAAACCTCGTGACAAGCCCTACTTTTGGGTTATGGCCTTTACAATTTTTATCACCGCATTATTCAAAACACGTACCAGTTTGGGACTATTGAACATTGCCACAGTAGCATCTGCAATTCTACATCAGATTGGTGTGGTGTAGGCCAGGGTGGTGATTTCTGCCGTAGTTGAGAAAGGATGAGGAGCATCTGGATAATTCATAATTCTTTTGGAACCTCACTCGATGGCTGCCGGAAAAAAGACCACTTGGCGTTGGGTCCACCTCAAGTTGTCAGACCTGGAGTGTAAATCTGCAGTTTCTTCTCAGGTCATGCGCTCACTGAAGACTTCTGTTTCCTTGACCTGACCAAAAAATGAATGACACTTGGTGAGGTCGTTTGACTGAGGCACACATATTATATATATATAAATCCAAACACATCCCTCACCAAACCACGCCAGCTGGTCCCACAGAAGCATGAAAGCTGCACAAGCCACTCGAAACCACTGCGCGCAGTGCCAGATTCAGCATGTAGCTGCTGGGGGCGGCCCCATGGCATCGTGCCACGCTCAAAAGATCTGCCAGCAGCATCGTCATGAAACCCGGTACCAAAAGCATGAAGGGATTCCCTGATTTCTTCAAAGTTTCAACCGTCTCCAACGTTCCAAGCGAACAACTGCAAAGTGCACTCCCCTATTTTCAATGAACTTCAGTGTGGCCCTACCGCCACCCTGCAGCCCGAACCATCATGTCTTCTCCACAGCTTTTGACCATGGCGCATCTTAAATACCGTGCGAACAGCATGATTCGGCCGGGATATCAAATTGCCACCCGCATATAGTAAGGAAAGTAGGCCAATGCCCTACCATTTGCAAATCGGCTGACTCACTCAACCAATGCATTCTCACTGCCAATTTTTAATCACCATGCAATAGCTGTTTCAATCACCATGCAAACAAATAGCTGTTTAGTATGCGTTCTCATCAACATAGTAAAAGATCAACACATGAATCCCTCCTCAGCCCACTAATTTCAAAATTTCTGCTGGTTAAAGCAAAACTGCTAATGATGAAACCCCTGCCCAACTCACCAACTAGTTCCAGCACCTGTAGCTTCCTGCCAGGCGCGTTGCTTGCCGCACTTTTCTAGCAAGGGCGTCCACAAAGAGTTGCGCCAACCTTCCAGCTGTTGGTCCTCCAGCGCCTCGCCGGGATTCACGGGATTAATCAATTGTAGTCTTTCGGTGGTGAAAGTTGAAACTCACCATCCTGAAAATTACATTTAATTTCAGATCATTTATTTTCGACATTCTTTGACCAAGATTTCAAGCCATGCAGATCAATCAGATCTGATTGGGTGGATTTAGCTTTGGGAAAGAGGGTCCGCAGCGATGCTTTAAGCACGTGATGGGAGTGGCTGCTAAAGAAAACTATCTTTTTCTCCGAATAGAAATCTGAAGTGGATAGTTGTGATCCCAAACTTGCTTCTTTTCACCCCGTGGCCATGTGCTGCTCTTAACCGGGTTTAGGTTCAATCAAGAAAAACTGAAAAGGTTTCGACGTCTAACCTTGCAAAAGACGGACTCCCAACCCAAACGGTTTATTGCACCGAAACTTGCAGTATTTGAAATGGCGAACCATTGTTTGCACGTCGGTTCTTGAGGTGCTTACGCCCATGTGCGCCCTCGTCACCACAATCTACTTGGTGTTTAATCATCCAACTGTAGAAAGGGGTCATTGTGTGGGGTATGTGTGCCAAATTAAGCGTACCTGTCACCTGATAAAAGGGGGCGAATCCAAGAAAAATGAATTTACACCCGGAAAACCCGAGAATAGACCTCTTTGGCATGATAGAGTGGGTGTCTGGGCTTGTTGGCTTCCCGCATTGCGCAGGCCAAAAAACACCCTAGCAACCAGCCCAAACACGAACTAAATGGCCAACTCATCCGACGACCATCTATGCAATTTGACCCAGTATTTTGCCCCAACACCAGCCACACAGGCTTTAACGGGAATGCAATGGGCATGGCATTTGGTTGAAACATGTTAAAACAGATTTTCCCATTCTCAGTAGTGGATCGCTGAAGAACGAAGAACCCTTCATGCAACAGCTAGCACGCGCATGATTATCTATGGGTGCGCTTAATCAAGGAAGGCTAAACACGAACTAGCGACCTTTCTATGGCCAGTGTTGCTAACTAATCATTCTTTAAAACCCATGCAAATATTGATGGGCGCAGCAACCACCTTCATGACCGTCTTTGAACACTTGGATGAGCATACCAAACGGACAATAATACATGGGTATGCGCAGTTCTTCCCCAACGCAAGACCACTCTCGGTCCAGCTAAAAACGCCTGGTACGGCAAGGGGTAGAAACGACGATGGGCAGGCATAGTGACACAAAGATCAACTGAAAAGAAGCCAAATAGATAGAAAGATAAACAAATAGAAAGAAAGATAGATGGATAGAGAGATAGGTAGGTAGGTAGGTAGGCAGATAGAAAAATGGACTGAGAGATGGAACGAGAGATAGATGGATAGATACGGGTCTCCAGCCACTTTACAGACTTTATTCGCCAGTGATATCAGGCTATCGCGGGCCATCCCACATGGCACCCGCCTGTCGCACCGCCCGTGGCAGCTCTGCTGGCACCACTTGCAGCAGGCGCCGCAGCCGCAGCTGTCGCGAGGCGCAAGCCGCATCGGCCGCCGCCGCTGCGGCGGCCATGGGCCGCCATGGTGCTGTAAATGCAGAATGCCGAACAAGCTTCTTATGTGTGTAGCCGCAATAAATAGGGATGCGCCCCGTAATGTGAAGAATTAGCAACCATGTGGCAACAAGTGTCAAAAAAATCTCAATCCATAGCCCGGGATGGTCACAATAGTGGGCTGCAAATCTGTTTGCTTTGATTGGTTGAAAATTGGTTGAAATCAGTCATGAGTAACCAACAACAAGCGGTACAACCGCAGAAGGGAGTATGCACATAGGGGGCTTGGTTTGCAGGGTGCAGTGGATACCATGGGCAGCAGAGTCACATGCCTGGCTTAAGGCTTACTGTGTGATGTAACCAACCAAGATGGGGATTGAACAAGCCAATACGGCGAGCGACCCGCAGCAATGTTTGCATAACCACAAGTCTTGCCCAAAACCAAACCAAGTTGACAAAAACACAAAGGTGTTCAAAAGGTTTGGAAATCCTGGGCAGCCGGCTCTGTCTGTAGGAATCGATTTCAAGGAGGGTCATCATTGCATCAGTCATCATTGCATCACAATTGCGTGGAGCTTCATGTGTATCTAATGGCAGCAAAAAAGGCGCATTCCAAACCTGAACTTGTTAGGAACCGTGAATGACTTTTGAGGGCATGTGAGCTTACACAGCAGCTGTAGTGACTAGACCGTGTCAAAGGAAAAAACCAGTCAGCTTGGTCGGTTTCACTCGTTGAGAAATTTTCCAGGAAAACTTGCAATGTGTAGTGTTGAAACATTCTAATGAAGTGCCAAGAGATATGTGAGCGGCTAAGGGTTACGAGTAAAGACTGCCCCGATTGAAGCACCTAATCCCTAGGAAAGTTGTGTTGAACAAAGAGCACTGGTCCAGGATCAGTCAAAGCCAGGGTGGTTCGCTGTGGTTTGCACCGGGTTTCTTAATTCTTGTGAGTAATGTAACGGATCAGTGCCGTCTATTTCCGGAAAGCCATAAAACCATTATTTCCGGGATGATCTTCCCGTGGAACATTGTACTTTCCATCTAGACATGCTTGACCACCAACGAATATCTTCAATCTAGAAACTCTCCGACAATTCTCAAGATTTGGAGCCTTTAAAATGCCCTTGCCATCTGTTTCTACCCCCATCCATCCACTTGCAATTTTTTCACCGCCTTCCGCCCCTTTGCCGCTGGTCTTGCCATGCTCTTGGCACTCTTGGCGCCCTTGGCACGCGCACCCGGCCGCAGCCACCAGCCGAAGAGCGAGTAGCGTGGCCGTCGACCGCGGAGGGCGCGCACGGCGTGGAGACGGGGCACTTCAAAGGCCACCAAGGTGTTGAAGTCCGGGGAATGCAGCACCTGGGGTCGTGTGGGAAACACCTTGGTCGCTTTCACAGAAAAAAATATATATCACCACACAAGATTTTCAACTCCGTCATCCAACGCAATGCTGTTTTCGTCATGTGTTTGTTCATCTGGGCATATTTTTTTGTTGTATAGCTCGAAAATTTGTTTGGTTTGGGGGATTTCCTTTCCCATTTTGAAGACATGCAATGGTTCACTAGCATATGCCGTGCTGCCTAAAGTCCCCGAACATCCCTTGCCCTGAATTTCATAGCCAACTCCAACTAAATTGAACCGGATTGGACAGTCGAGTGCAACTCACCACAGCCATAGCCGCATATTCTTTGCTGCCGGTGCGCGTGTTTGGAGGCGGCCATGTCCACAAATTGGCCACCTGAGCTAGTGCGCTCAAAATCCATACATGCCCAGTAACTGCCCCATATCAAACGCCTGATGTATGAATATGCAAAGTGCAAGGATGGTCCTCCCAATTTTGTCGATCATGTCCTAAGTGGGTTGACCAATTTCTTGTTGATAAAGCCCCCAATCTTCTATAGGTGCCAAAAGTACCTCGCCTTCAACAAAAAGAGTCCAACCCTCAGCTGAGGGGGTGATGGCGCCCAGTTTGGCTGGTGTATGGCTGAATTTTTTGATCGGGTGAAAACGAATACATCCAAATGTTGCACGCTGGTTGGCATACCGCGACTGATGACTTGATGGTCCCCCAGAATTGATGGGCAATAATTGTGACGTGATGATATCCCAAGATTTGGTGAAAAACATGCCAGCAATTTCCCTATGAGCTCCTGTTTTTTGGCAGATTCCAACAATATCATGAAATAAAATGATTCCCCGAGAATAGAAGATTATGCGCGATCGCAAGAGCAGTGTCCACTCCCCACCTGCTGTTGCCTTCCACTCCTTGTTTAGGTAATAGGCTTCTGCGACCCATCGCGTCCAGGGTGTGGTGGCTTTTTCACTCCCAGTTTCCTGGCGCTGCGCCACAGCAGCGCGAACTTTCTGGAGGTCGCCGGACTGCAAGGCGGCTTCCAGCCTGGGATCTTTTGGGGGGTGAGCTTTTGGGGTATTTTTGATGGATTGTTGATGTTTGTTTTGAATTCTTTTAAATTGTCAATTGATCTTTTAATTCATCTTTTGGTTCCTTCCTCGCGAAAAACAACTCAGGCCTGCCGGATTTTGGGGGCGTGGATTAAAAAGCCTTGGGCTGGGCGTACCAAGGGTATGAACGGTTTCCTTTATAAGCAACAAGGGGACCCAAATTTACCAACAACTTCCCGTCAGAACAAACAAAGATTCCCAAGGATTTCACAATGATTGATGTTTCCAAGGCACCGTTCCTCCACCGCCTCGGCTGTCGTTGCCTCTGTCGCCCGCCACCGCGCCGCAGCGCGGCGCAGGTTCTTGGCGGCATAGGCAGCGCGCAAGCGTTGGAGCTCCGCTGCGCTGTAGGCCTCGGGCACCTGGAAATTCTTGGGACACTTGGGAATCCCCAAAAATCATGACGGGCCAGTCCTAATGATTGAGTTGTAGCGGCAAACCCAAGTGAACCATAAGCATCTTTTCAGGGGGTAAGATGAGCTGCACATGAGTCGGGCCCTGGACAAGGATTTTTTAAAGGGGAATCACTAGATGAGGACGTCTAAGGAGACAATCGCTAAAGAGATCCGGACTGCCATTGCCGGGAAAGTGGGGCTGCTAGCTAGAGTTTGACATGGATACAGGCTTGTTTCAAATAATGTAAACCCATTCCATCCCATGTTCGGTCATCATTGCCGGGCATTTGCATGGCCATGATCGTCGGTATCCCCCATGTCGAAACAAACCCATATGACACGAATTTTCTCTGGGATGAAAAACTCCATTGACATGAATGTGCCTATTTAGAGTTAGGTGGATGAACGGAAGACTTGATAAAACATGGAATTCATCAGCCACGGGTCCCGCAGCTACACATCAATAATTCTGTTGATGGGCTCAAAGCTGGCCATACATGAGGTTCTCTTGGATATAAGCGGGGTTAGAAGCCCATGTATACCTTGGGGTCCGCTCCTAAAAGGGAGACTTGAAGCCGTTTGATCGGCATACGTCGTGGTTTAGACAGGGAAGATGTGGATCTGAATAAGCGGAGAGGAATCAATAGTCAATAGACATGGGAGCTTCATCAAAGAGAAGAAGCATGATAACCAACAAAGATACGGATATTCGATAGGCAGAAATGTGCATGTGGCCAAAAAAAATTAGAGTACCGGACAACCCCTCAGGTGCACCCTTCCAACGGTTATCACTGGAGGACAATGACTTAGGATGAAGGGAGTCGATACATGTCCAGATGGAAAAATGCAAGAGGTAAGTTCATGAACGGACACGCCCTTCCGTAGAGACTAACATGTTGTCCTTTGGAGGTGGTGGGGCCATTCCCAAATTCTGGCTCGAGCCACCACTCTTTTGAAGATGCTCCTGTATGTACTAGTCACAAAATGTATGTGCGTATTGTGTCTCAGAGACATGCATACATACATCCATGCAAGCAAACATACATGCATGCATACATGCATGCATATATACATACATGCAAGCATGCATACATGCATGGATACATACATGCATACATACATGCATGCACGCATACACGGCATACGTGCATACATGCATGCATTACATACATACATGCATGCACGCATACACGGCATACGTGCATACATGCAAGACATACATACATACATACATGCATGCACGCATACATACATACATACAGACAGACAGACAGACAGACATACATTACATACATACATTACATTACATACATTACGTTACATTACATTACATTACATTACATACATACATCCACGCATGCATACATGCATACATGTACGCATACATACATAGATACATACATGCATACATACACGCATGCATGCATGATAACACAACATGACATGACATGACATGACATGACATGAGATGACATGACATGACATGACATGACATGACACACAACAGCACACAATATCAAAATACATACATAATCATACATACATTAATGTAAGCAAGTTAAAAACATATATCTCAAATACAAAATCCTAGCGTCTTGATGCTCATCTTATTTTTTTGTGGCGGGCACCCCTTGGATAGCCTCATCTGTGTGGGGTGCAATGTGGTCCCGGCCGCGGTAGCAGGCGGCGGAGAAGTTGGGCAAGGTGCCAGGGAGCATTTTCGCAAGGACGCGCGCCTTGTGAACGGCATGTTTTCCAAGGCATGTCTGCATTGGAGGCAAAGCACATGGCCCATGCTGCCTTTGGGATCATCCACTGGGGAATGAACATCCACAACTGCTCAAACAAATCGAATATGTCCAAATTGCAACCTTCCCCGATTGTTTCTATCTTTTCATCAGCCACGTAGTGGGTAAGCAACCTACCCGGGAAGTGAACGATCCCCTAAATTAGCAGAGATGATCCCAACTGTTAGTTAATGAAGAGATTGGAAATCCAATTGTATCTAAAACATCTTCAAGGGTAGAGCCAGGAGCCATGGACCGAAACTTCAAAAGCCGATCAAATGCCATCCGCCAAGCTACAGCTCCGAGTAGAAGTTCATCTCCCTCCACATCCGCGATGGAGAATCGATGCTTCACCCGATCCTCATAGCCCACATCGTCTCGATCACCTTCACCTGGCACCGGGGTGGCCCTTTGGGCCTTACGAGTTCCACCCTGTTTTTTCCATAGCCAAACCTGGGCCAATTCTAGTGCTTTACTATGCCTTATTTTTGCATCAAACCATGTTTGGACATGGACAACAACGCTAGGTTGTATCCAGTGTAGCCGGGGTTTTTGTGCATTACATCGTATTTCACATTAAAAGTACCCCTGGCATAGTTCCCTAGATTCCGCAATTTTGTGGATGCCATCCCCTCCAATGGCATAGGCCCAAGAGCCACCATGTTTAGGACAGCTGGCCAGGCCTGCTCGCTCCCAGGCATCCAGTTGCGGTAGACGTTGCAGCACAGCATCTGCCACGAATGGTGGCAACAAATTTGTGATCCTGAGATTGACGAAAAATGGTCGGTTTATTCATTTGGGGGTGATCTTATTCTTCGGCAAGCATAGGGCCACATTGGCAAACATGAGGTTTCATAGAGTTGCCCCAATTTGATCCTGCGCCGATGAACCTGAATATCACCATCAAATAGAGGGCCAATAAACAAGCACTTTAATCATCAAGGAGTCCCAAAACAAGGTGGCGTCGCGTGTGGACTGGCCGCACTTTTGCAGGTTCTTCACAAAACCATCGACATCTATCGATTCAACACACACACACACATGCACGCAAAGACTGACAAACACATATGCATTCATTACAAACAGAACATACAATACATGCATCACGTGCGTTGCATGCAGCAGAAAGCTACATACGGGCACACATGGGCGCATGCAAACAAACACATATACATATATATACACAGATAGTTCATCATGCATGCGCCCATGGTCTTCCCAAACGCGGACTTCTGCTGCACTGGGATTTCCAGGTCCTGCTTTGAGCTGGGAGTCTTCACCAAGCCGTCACTCTTGGCGAGAAGCTTCTTTAGGTTCCTCTCCTTAGTTCTCGGCTGTTGACGGGAGATTTGTCGCCGCTGTGAACATCTGTGAGTTTGGGGCTCTTCCCCTGAGTTGATTGAACTTGTGACCGCAGCACGGCCATCAACTAGGTATCACGGCGCCACACTGACCAGCACTGTAAACAAATTGCGCGCAGTCATGAATGTGCAGCCCTTCATGACGGGTGCTTCGGTAAGTGCCGGCGCATCAACATAGATGTTAGGCTGACTTTCCATGGATCTGGTCTCTGTAGAGTTTGGTTACATCACGCAGTGCCATGCCCCACCGGGAAATACCATACCAAGTGGCAGGATGCTTCAACCACTTTTTGATTCCATCCTCAGAACAAGACGGCAATATGGGGTACCCAAAGCTTTCGTCAGCAATGCCTACCCAATTTTTTTGCTATCAATTTTTCTGCCGCTGAAAGCGCGATCTCACTGATCAAATCGGCTCTCAGACTCAACATCAAGGCACCCCTCATTTTTAGGCTTTCCCACGTCAATGCGCCGGTCTTCAGTCTAAACTGTATTGCTGAAGGGGCCTGTAAGCTACAAGTGGATCACCTTCCCAATCATTTTGGGGCTGCTGAAATCAAAAAGGCAACTGAAGCTGTGCTTGGGTCGGCATATTCCAACCAACCAAGTTCAGTTACCAACTTACAGCAAGCACATCAAAAGCTTGCTGCGGAACCATACCTGGACAAATGACGGCCAAGGCTCGACATCATTCAGCCAGCGAAGCGCTTTGGCATCGGCCATGGCCACGGATCCAACAGAGGCCCGGTTAGGTTGGGGTATTGAATATTACGCTTTTAAAAACATGGATATGAGAATGGCCAGCTAATGTCGCACTAATCAAACGAGTCATCGGGGGTAGGTTTGCAGTGATTAGTTCGTTTGATCCCCCTGGCGTTAGCTGGACCAATAAAAGGAGTTGCCGTTGAATTGTTTTCCTGATGCTGAAAAGGTAAACATTTCCACTGAGAGCATTGCATGAAGACAGCGCAACCCATTTGCAGTGAATAGGTCACTGTCCTTGCCAGGTGGACCCAAAGACTCAAGTTTTTTTTGCATGACAGTTGGAAATCACATGAAATCACCAATTTCAACTGTGGATGCATTGACAATCTAGTTATCTAGTTGTCCGTTGCCATGTGGACCTGTGCATCATCAGGGATATGGACCAATTGGACCAATTGGACCAATTGGACCAATTGGACCAATTTTCAAGGAATTGCCAGGTAAAAGCCTTGTTCCCTTGCAGCTTTCCATCTGCCGCACCATTTTGCAGGACTGGTCGTATGCTCGAAGCGACATTTGTCGCCGCGAGAGCAGCCGCGTTCCGAAAAGAAGTGGCGACAGACCTGAGGCCTTAGGAAATCGTTGCGGCCAGGAAAAACACCTAGGAAATCTTCCATGTTTTAAAGTTTTGAGTTTTTCAGATGTCTTTGTTGAAAATCCTGAGGCACATGTAATGATGAGACATTCTTTCAAATATCCTTTTCATGGTTGTTGAACATCATGAAAACCATTTATTTGAAAGGACCAGCGGGGGTATCATGAGACTATCTATAAGCCCAAATATTCCAAATAGGGAAATGAACCAAGAGCAGCTCAGCAACATTAATCAGAGGCTTCTAATCCTTCAAACCATGGCGGTCAATGCCAGTTTTTATGGTCCCAAATTGGCAATATGCTGCCGTCCCGGAAATGCCGACCCCCTTGTGCGGGTGGACTATGGCTGCTTGATGTTTATTGAACTTCAAAATTCCACCATTCCGAAAATCTTTGTTGATATGGGGATGGGTCAAAACCTATTATCATATTATTATTATGATGATGATGATGATTATTATTATTATTATTCGCATTATTATTATCATCATATTAAAACCTATTACATCCATAAAATCCCAGCTATTTTGGGGTCCCCTTTGAAAAACCAAGGTTTCGCTGGGCGTTCCAGCGCTGATGCGGAGGCGTCACCTTCGGCTCGAACGTAGTGACGCCTCAGCTGGAATATCAAACAGGTTTTCCCCGAAGGAACTGGGGAATTCAACAGCAGAACGAAGAAGTTCAGCAACACATTTCTGAAGGTGAGGACTTTCTACCTACCCTCTGGTAATTTAACAGTTTGCCATTGAAAATGACCATTGAAATAGTGGATTTACCCATTGAACATGGTGATTTCCATAGTTATGTTAGTTTACCTGAGGGTAGTAAATGGGACCTGGTCACCATGGAAAAAAAACAATTGCCTCAAAAACTCTGTGGTGATGGTTAAAAGCAACTTGCTGATGCCTGTGGCTGTTCCATGCTGTCCCCTGTCACAAGTTAACCATCTCGGGTGGGGGTTTGAGCCCCACATCACCAAAAAATGTCGAGGATTATCATCCGATTTGGATGTAAAGCCAAACATCAATGGTATCACTAAAATCCGCAAAAACCAGTTGGAACACAATGGTGGTTGATGGTGGTTGGGTATCCCCCAGACTCTTTGTTTTTGTGGATCCTCCATTTTGTCTTGGAATAATGTCGGTCTTGCCGGGAACTTGGGTACCCCAAGATTTGATGCTTCATCATCAATTTCCCCTATGCAGATAACGGCCATAGACTTGGTTTATCTATGTCTAGTCCCAAGCAAGCCATTTGGGTGGCCATGTTAATAGGGAAAAGATACTTAACATCTAGTCTATTCACAAGATTTTGGCTAATTTTTCAGAATTACCAAAACATGGTGAATCTGACTGGTAGTCCACAAAAACAGAATCCTTTCTAGTTATTTTCCATAGCAAAGAACTCACGGATTTTCCACTACCCCTTCCACTCGGTTAGGGATGAACGTCACCACTTGATGACTATATCATCACTTCCCAACAAATGCGTAGTGATAACTGATAACCTCCATAAGTTGCAGGATGGTGCCCCCCAGTGATGTTAGTTGGTTTATAAATCCCATTATATAACTATAGTTACCGCGCAGACCCCGTGGTTTACCCGGACTGCAACATTGAGGATTCCCTTTCGTTGAACATGAGAAGAGAAATTGCAGAAAATACTGAGTATACGCAGTGTTTTCTGCTTTCAGACTCAGAGTTTTCAGGGCTTTAGGTTTTAGGGTTTAGGGTTCGTCGTCTGGTAAGTACCAAAACACTGGCCCTGCGCAGGTTTTTGAGCACGTCGAAGGATAATATATGAACTCCATTCTCACCTTGCGGGCAAACCATAGGGTCTGGCTGTATAGTTATATCTAACAGAAACATACAGAAACCATAGAATTCAACCACTTTTTAGGCAAGTAAACTATCGAACGGGGGCCCCATCCTGTGGGATATGAAGCCAGCCAATCATCATCTCCCCTTCGGCCAAAGCCATGGCCGAAAAAAGATCCGCCCAAGCGGCGTATCCTTGCGCTGCCGGGGCATTGCTTGGCGTTTCCTCTTCAGAGCCTCTCTGATACCTGGCGTGGTAAAACCTGGGAAAATGACCAACACATGGTTGTTTGATAGGAGTTTAACATCTAACGGTGCTTGACCAGATTTTTTCTGAATATTTTGAATATGGTAATATGGTTCATAACATGGTTCATGATGGAGAATTAATGTATCATGGGGATAATGTGTTTTTTTTATGTGGAATTTACCAATTAAAGTGACAAACATCAAACTATTTATGTATTTAAGTGTGGTTTTAAAACGCCAAATAATGTTATAAAATCAACATGAACAATCCCTCCAGAAAGTGACCTGCCAGGGGAATCTTGACCATCTATTGCTGGGGTCATTGACCTGGCCGGAGGCTGTCATCAGCTATGGATCAAAATTCGATCAGTACTCCACCATACATCCACCATCCACCAGAAAGGCCCGGCTTTCTAAGGGGTCATGACGTGACCTTGGTTCGTCATGATCATGTTCTCCTCAATCTGAGGACTGAAATCTCCAATGCGGGGATTTGCCGATTTAGCAGCAAAGATTTTGCGACAAAAACCAGGTGACTGGGGATGGGCCCGAAAAGGTTTTTGGACGCACCCTATGGTCAATTAAGAATTTGCGAACTGAACAATGAGAATTTTTGGTAAATCATCGAGCTAAATGGGCCATGGCTTCCATAGAAAACTGTTGGTTTACCAGAGAGTACCATCACATTCTCTGCAAAGCCACAGAGAAAAACTCTGGTGGCAGATAAAGTGGCAAGGACTGAGACTCCAGAAGCTTTTCTTCCGCACATGTCTTGTCTCATCGTCCAGTACCACTGCGATGCCCAAAACAACCAGAAGTGGTTGTTTCCTGAAATAGCCTTTGGTAATCAAATATGGCAATGGGCAAAAAAATGAGAAAAACAAACCATTTGGTTAACCATCATTAACCACTGTTAATCATCATTACCCATTTAGTTCAGGTCAATTTTTGTGGAGGCATGAAACCCAGAACAATCGGTCAATCCACACGAGGATAAAGGAGTTCCTTGTTTTGCCGGAATCCTGACATTTTACCAAAACCACATTTCTATGTCCTACTAAATTGGCGATTTCATGTGATTCCTCCCTGTTTTTAATCAGCTTGCTTGAGTCCTAAAACTAACGAAATCCACATTTTTCATGGCTGTTTTGGAAGAACCAGGTGCCTCCGAAAAAAATCCTGGGGCGCACGTTCCAGTCGAAGCTTTTGCTTGGGATTCAGCTCCTGACAAAGGGAGATGGCAGGATATGGGGATGGGCCATGGTTTGTAACCCATATGTAACCCATTGATGTGGTTAAAACAATGCCATTTTTACCACCCATGACTGGGAATGGTTAGTTTATACCACCTATAAAAGTAGTGATGACTGGGGGATTGTTTATTATTGTTTTAAACACATTAATCTGACTGGGGATCTTCCGGACTAACTGATGTCAAGGTTGACCCGAGCATTCGTATCTGAGTAGATTGCAGAGGAGGCTGTTGTCCGTATCCTCCAATAGTCATCCTTGGACAATCTGTGGCGCATCACCTCAACTGTCCGATGAATGGCATTGATATTGCCTTCCTCATTGTATTCACCCAAAAGGTTGTTCTTCAAGCCCTCGAGTCTGGCCCTTGATCGCGAGGTCCATCTCAAGGGTGTTTACTCCCCAAGAGGGCTAGTGCCTAATTACGATTCCTGGGATGCACCAGGTAGAATTTTAGTAGAAGTTTCTGTGCCTGTACTGAGGGATACCGTTTAACAGCCAGCTATTCTTCGACATAGCCATCCAAAAAAGACAACAGGCTTTGCCAACAATGATCTGGTTACGACCTCATTCATTGCTACCGGCATTTCTGGGCCCACCAACTCCAACGTTTCGTAACCGAAGCGCCACAAGACAAAAAGGACTTGGCATGGCTAACCCCACCTAACAAGTTGAATCTTTGGCCTATGATATTGCACTTTTCTAGCTGATCAACCTGGCCCAAAAATCATGTTCTCTCTTATCAGCCCACTCCCAATTTTCATTCCGTTTCTTCTCCGTCCCGAAAACATTCGTGACTTGACACCAACCCTTCAGCCAGGATGTAAACTCCCCAATGCTTGCCATAGTATCTTAACACTATGGAAATTTGACCATTTCTAGATGCTTTCCTCTATTCGAACTGGTAATTTTCCTGTCATTCCCAGAGGATCTATCCTTTGAAATGTTGGGGAGTTGAAATCCCCTGGCGACACAAAACAGCTGTTTCTTTCTGATCCAACTGATCCATCGCCACCTCAAATTGAGGCAATCTCCCCAACACAATGGCGAATTTCAGAGGGGAAAATCATGATTCACCAACGGATTTTCATGGAGTTCTGATTGTTTAGATACTTTTAGAAACCATGATGTATCATGGATTCTTCATCAATTATTCATATGATCAACCATATGATCAACCATATAATCAACCACAATATATATACACATATATACATCTATATCTATCTATCTACCTATCTACCTATCTACCTATCTACCTATCTATCTATCTATCTATCTATCTATCTATCTATCTATCTATCTATCTATCTATCTATCTATCTATCTTCTATCTATCTATCTATCTATCTATCTATATATATATACATGTATATATCTATATATATATATATATTATATATATAGATAATCATCCATATTGCAATTTTTTGGGTCTTGAACTTCCCTCCCCGGCTTCGCTACACGCCTGGCGTTTCTTCAGCTCCTCCGCCGATCGCAGCAACTTTGCCTTTTCCAGCTGCGAGAGGTCACGGAAAAGCAACAAACCTGGCAACAGGTGGGGCATCGAACGAGAAAACACCCATAGGAAAATGGTGGATTTAACCAATAACAATGAGATTTTAATGGGATCTAAAGCTGATTTATGATAAGTGATAACCAAAACTAATTCATGACGACAGTAACAAGGGTTTATGGAGGATATAATTATAGTGATTGGGGGTTATAAACCCACTTGAAACGGAGGGGGACCACCGTCAGTGATGGCAGTGTGGATAACATGGGTTGGCTTCACCAACTAGAAAAGATGATTCGATATATCATAATAGGTTTTCACCATGAACTAAGGAACATATATTGGGTTCACCACTAGAAAATATGATTCGAACATGATGCGATATAGTGAACAAACATGGTTTTTCACCATGATTCGATGCAAATTTGAGTTGCAATATAAAAAGGATTTCAACATCAAAAAGGGATTTAACCAACAAAAAATTGGAGTGGGGGCAACCATGGGGCAAAGTCGAAGCGGCTTCCCGTGGCTCTGGAAAGATCTGCCAGCCTTGCAGCAAAAACAAGAGATTTAAAGATATTTCAAGCAACATCTAAATGGGTCATAATCCTGATTGATGGTTAAAATCTGCAGGATTCGAACCCATTTAAGCATGGAATGAACATCAATTTGATCATCAAGTAGGATTATGACTCTGATCCATTGATAGTCTATCATCATTTCATGCTTACCCTCTGGTAAACATACAAAAAACTATGGAAAATCACCATTTTTAGTGGGTAAATCAACTATAAATGGCCATTTTCAATAGCTTTCTATATGTTTACCAGAGGGTAAAACATCTGACCCCAGAATTTGATACTGGGATCCCGGACCGCCACGCAACTCGTTGGGCTTCAGGTCACTTTGGGTGCCATCCTCCCAACGCACCGCCATCCGTCCATCCGTCAGTGCCTTGCCATGTGAGATATGTGAGATGAGATATCATGGGATTCAACCAACCCAATGGTAAAAAATAGGTAACAATATGGCTAATACACTGATATTTGTTTAGTATGGCTAATATGTTTAGTATGTATGGCTATTATTAGTGCTACAATAATAGGTATAAAGACAATATATAATATAGCTAATATTGATTAGAGATACACTGGTAATCACACCAAAGAATTGTTGCTGATTGTGGTATTGATTTGACTAGGTCAAACAAAACATATAGATTTGTATGGTATTATCATCCTTCTCTTTGGCGTTATGGGATGCAACCAAGCTGATGGTAAATGGCTAAAGATATGATGAATATTGATCAATGATTGATAATTTATAGAAATATAATATACAGTTAGCCAGCTGACAATATGAATCGCAGATAACAATATCATGTCCATTTCTAGGGTGGACAAGAACATGTTTGAAACCACCAACCAGACTAGCAAATATTGGGAATGAATCTTAGCAGTAGGGGCGTACTATACCAATTAATATCCTATTTCAATCAACATAAGGCATATAAAACTATAGGCTATGATTAGTAATGATATCTAATCTAATATTGGGGGTTTATGATGTTCTAACCCTCATCAATGGGGATACCCAATGTAGCTGGAGATATCATCAGCGGCCTCGTAGGGCCGGCAGCCATACCTGACCGTCTTCGATGGGGCCATGAAGTCAGTGTCAGTGCTGTGCTGAGGCATGGATATACCCTCTGGTAAACATTAAAAAACGATGGAAAATCACCATTTTATAGTTGGGTAAATCAACTATAAATGGGGCATTTTCAATAGCTTTCTATATGTTTACTACCATGTCGACGAAAAATGGGGAGCCATGGCAAGCCTATTTTCAGGCAAAGCCATGTTGGAAAAATGGGGACTGGGGACTGCTATTCCAGAAATTTTTGGCATAAATCACCCCACATTGGTGCTTTTAATGTGACACATTGGAATGGGGGCAGCCTATTGCTGGACAAACCCAAATCATGATATGAAACCTCTAAATCATCCTTTTCCCTACTCAAATGGACCATTTCGGGTATACCCTATTTTCAGACAGACCCAACAACTATCACATCAAGTTGGAATATTATATATCTCCCATTGTAAACCCATGATGGTGTGTAAAATCTCATATCATGGTTTGTCAACTCCCATTAGACAAATGGTGAGTCTATTCCATTATAAACTTATAAACTGTTTATACTATGGTCTTTTAGTTGGTTCGTACTCCTCTTTAACCATAAACCAAAGTGTAAACAGTTTAAAGGTTTATAATCCTTCTTGAACTAGGGATAGTTTCAACATAGGATCCAATCACTGTTTCACCGCCACCAGGCTCCAGGCTCTGTCGAGTCGCCACTGATCGTCCCAGAAACCTTCGGCTTTCCTCCGTCGCGCTGCAGCAGCCACACGCTCGGTGGCCTGCTTTGACCCAAAGATCCCAACAGATTTTCCCATTAAAACTGGTGATTTTGGGTACCCTCTGGTAATTTGTTACATAGCTATTGAACATGAACCATTTAGTTCCTGGATTTACCCATTGATTTCTGGTGATTTTCCAATTCGTTTTTTGTAAACGTTTACCAGGCCGGGTATCTTCTGTGAAGGATCCCAATTCTGGGGCATTTACATATCCCCTACATGAAATCCATCTAAATCCCTTCTAACAGCACCCCGCCCCAAAATGTTGAGCATAAAAGTAGAAGCCGTTGCTTGTTATGACGGGGATAGGACTTGCTTGTCTTTTGTCTGCTTCAACCGTTTACCGTTTTGCGGGAAACCAATAAACAAGTGATTAATCAATCAATTACATACAGATACAAGTTTAATTTTGTTTAATCAATGGACATGAAATTAGATTAAATAGCATACTGCCAAACACCATTGATAAGATCATGCACTGCCACATTATATCCTATCAATCATATCGCCCATTCATGGTCAACCCTGTATTATCCATGGCATAGCATAACCACATTATAACCAGCCATTAACCATCCCAGTTGCCAAGTTAGCGTCCCATAATGCAATGTGGTGCCCCTGCATTGATGTTTGTCGCTTTGCAACCCCGTGAATACTAGTTCGGTCTATCTATATCTACCATGAACCCAACTGTAACATAATGACATTTTGGTCAAATAAATCAACTTCGCTAACAAATTGGGATACAACCTGATAGATTTCTGGCTATTAATCAACCAAAGTTGTTCTCTTCCGGTTTAACATTGTTTAACCACCGCCAGGAATAAAGTAAGAAAGATGGTGGGATATCTGGATGTTTAACATCTTTCAACCAACCAAACGTGACATCAATAGGACGGCACCTCCCCAAATCCACCACAGATCCACAAGCCAAAGAAGGGACATCGCGCCATGCCGGCACCCTCCACATGGTGGAAACCATACTTTTCCTCGGGCTTCACCCTGTGGCTTCACCCTGAACCCTGTTCGACATGGGGCAAACATGGCGTGAAAAACTGAGGGATTTCACGCGAAAAACGGGAAGATGGCAATGAAACATGTGGATTTTGAGTGATTACTCTTTGAGAATGCTGGCGGTGGTGGTGCTGGTCGTGGTTGTGCTAAGTACTCCTATGTGGATCTTGATAAATCCATATTTGGGTTGCAGATTTTTCGCCAGCTTTGGTGTAGACAGCAACATACGTATTTGCAACATGAAACATCTTTGAAACCACCACGCGCCATCTATATCCCCATCATAATTGCATGCCCTAGTTTTTTTGGGTTGGTTCAATTCCCATGGTTTGTTAAGGCCCATTTGAAACTACTAACCAGCAATATTTGAACCCAAGACTCCGGACGTCCTTTGGCACCCCTCCGACAGAGGTAAAACCTCGGCGGGGCAACGAAGGTCTGAGGTAGCAGGGGTTGACCTACACAAGGGGTTCCCAAAGCATAGGATTATGATCTGGTTGGTTGACCTACAACGGCTGATCATGAATTCCCAACCATTGGTGGAAGGTACATCCTGGTTTTTCAGAACTATCCTGGTTGGTGGACCTACCCCTCTGAAAAATGATGGAGTTCGTCAGTTGGGATGATGATATTCCCAATATATGGAAAGTCACAAAATTCCATGGTTCCAAACCACCAACCAGTGATGGATGATTTATGACTTGGGAAATCTAAAAATATCCATAATGACAATTTATTTATGAGTTCAGGTTCATAAAATGGTTGGGTTATTTGAAGTATTCATATAAGCAACTGAAAAAACATCCAATCCACAGAGACAGGTGATGGAACAGACAAACATTGTGGCTACCGGCGCCGCGGCCGACAAACATGGCTTTTGATGGTGTTGTAGTCGATTTTCTCTTGAATTGGAATGGTCATTTTGTCGTACCTTACCACAGGAAGTTCTTCATGAATTCTATTGGTTCAACAAAAGTTTGTGTCCACCTTGGCGGCCACTCCTCTCGAAGTCTCGTTTTGTTTTCAGGTCTTTGGTCGGGTCAGAGAAAACGAACATGGGCGTTTCATTTGACGCCACACTGAATCTTGGCTTTCAATGAGACGGCGTCCCCACTTGCGTAAAGCGAAAGATGCGCTTGAAGAGAAGGGGGCAGCAGTAAAGATCTTAGCGTAGCATCAACGTGCAGCGATGCCCAGGCCCTCCCCATCCCACCATCGTGCACCAATGAGCGCCGGTACCAATAGCCCTTGGTTTATCCCATGAAATCACTAAACACTTTGGTTCATTTTGGCTCACATAAGCCATTAAAAATACACCCCATGTCATGAAATACTGGTTGATTGATAGGTTTCCCTACTTGGGCTATCATAATCCCCAATAAATCAGGTAGTATTAATCATAATCCCCAAGTAGTATAACTGATAGTTGGTTGATCATTTTCCCTATGGGTTCCAAACAAAATCCCCAATGACCCAGGTAGTATAACTCCCTATCAACCAATCAACCATGGTATTTTTAGCTCGGCAGAAAAAAACCCAGCGACGCTGAGGGTCTTGCACTTCAGCAGCCTGCTCCTCACCAGTCTTGGCCTCGAAGGGATGCCGTTGGTGGAGAATGACTAGTTGAACTGGTGGCATCATGGATTATTAGTAACTATGATTCTCAGTAACTATCCAGTTAATAATGACTAATAAACTATTATCATATAATATTAGTAACTGGTTATACTAATGGAGAATAATGATTATTAGTCATATAGTAACCAGCAGTATATTAGTCATTATTTTGATTATTTAGTCACTATAACTATGGATTCGTATTTGTCACTGGATCTAATTGAAACTAATGTATTAGTGACTAATACTAATATCCAGTATGACACTATTCCCAGTTGATAGTAAATATCTAGCGGACAGTAGATCTCAGTTTATAGTGCCTGATAATGATTGATTGCCATTAAAATTGATGAATAGTGATTCCATAGTTTTCCCAATTTTGGAATGGCCATCAATGAATATTCTTATCGAAGGCAAAGACCCCTTTCAACCGGACAAAGCCAGGAGGGATGTCTGGCCAGGGCACCTTCAATTTGGCCAGGGAGGACAGGAAGTGTCGGAAAAAAGCCTGGCAGTGGGCCAGCTGCAGAGTTTGGCAATCTTGACATGGCTATGGTGAAATTAGATGGCCCATTAAGTTCCGATTTTTTTTTTGTTGCCTTTTTTGAACATGGTGGTTTTTCATATCAATGGGTCATTATAAGAGGAAAGTTGCCTCGAATCGGTGATGGCAATGGATATCCATCCTATTTCCAGGACCACTGCATCTCAAGAACCGGACCCTGAACGAACTGTTCTCTGTTGTTCCTCTTTTGGTGTCGAGATAACCTCTGGTAATTTAACATGGCTATTGAACATGGCCATTTATAGTGGATTTTCCCATGAAAAAATGTGATTTTCCATAGCTATGATAGTTTACCAGAGGGTAAATCAATTCCACCGAAAATGCCATGGTGTAGAACAGAGTTTTCTCCCACAGATCAGCCCTTGAACCATTCCCATCCTTGCCCACGGTCCAAGACGGCAGCAGCAGCAGGAAAGGCTCAGTCAGTTCCTCAGGCGCTAAACAAAGGTGGTTTGCCCACATGGATGTTGATGGCTCTGTCTTTGATTCATACAAGTTATCGCAATTATCCATCAATTCATATATATATATATATACATATACACCTATATTTATGTGTATATGTAGATATTATACACATACATATTTTGTATATCTATGATATATATATATATATACACACAAATGGTTTCTTGTGGCATTTAAATGGGTACGGTAAAAATCGTGGTATTTCTGTAACAGTGAGAGCCCACCATTGTGGAACATCTCCCATTGATGGATGACGGAAGTTGCCGTCTAGAAAACGGTTTCTGCCTTGCGTCATGCTATTTGGCTTCTACATGGATCTGCACATACGCACTTTTTGATAACGCACGTGGATTTCAACGAAAACTCAAATGGAACCCCAAAAAAACGCGGTGCAATTCTTGGGTTTCATGCTTGTTTTCAGGGGTTAAAGGCAGTCTTGGCTAATCTTAGATACCCTGCCCAGAAATTCAATTTTTGCCGTTTAGTAGTCGCATTTCTCATTTCTAGGAAGATATTCACAACCCAGCAGCTTGCAGCTGCATTCACTTTGAATTTCTAGGTGGTGAAAAACCTGGCCTTTGCTTCCAGCCGCAAGCGCTGCCGCTGTAAGATGAAGTCCAACAAACGCTTCTGCGGTGGAAACCAGAAACGACACTGGTGATTTCACCAAACATGGCCTATGAAAAATGGGATATATCGCTAAGTGATGCTAAGTGCATATATAATAGTTAATGCGAAGTGCTAAGGGATATATATATATATATTTAAGGCGATATATAGATAGTGAATTAGGATTATAAACCAACTTATAAGTCGAAACCAACCTTGTAGATCGGCCATCAAAGGCCGTGACTGGATTTCGGGGAAAAACCAGCGACCAAACCGGCGACCAATGGGCCGCCAAGGACGGCTCTTTTCGGACGCAGGCCAACACCTCATCGTTGGAAGTCGATCCATAGAGCATGAAGTGATCCTCGCGAGGAGGATTTATCAGCAGGATCAGCTGCATGTCATTTTTTTTAATAAGCGCGTTTTTATCATCAATGATCATTTAACGCTGATGTGGAGGTGACGAATATTCAAAGATATCATGAGACACTATGAACTTATTTACATGCATTTATTCTTCATGGTCAGACATCATGCATGTGATAGACATGCAATAGACACCGTCCATGTTCGGCCAAGGCTCTGGAATCAGCTCCTGTGCGCAGTCCCAGAGATCTCCTTTGAAGTGCTCCGGAATCAGCTCCTCTGGGGGATCCAAATGGCATATCACTCAAGTCCAAACCACCATTCCGAAAAAAACGCCCAAAGCATCCGAAAATGAACACCTCAATGAAGAGCTTATGAATCAATTACTCTTTTGGCACATCGCCCGTTTTTTTTTGGCTTTCTTGGTGTTTTTGCCTCCAAGTTAGCCGAACAAATGCTGCAATCATCTCAAGTTTGGTCCCCAAAGCCACCATTTGCAGATCCGCTCCTTGAGCTTCCGCAGCGCATCGCTGCCATGCACTTCCACTGCGATGCGTCGCAGCCGCGGCCAGAGATCTAAGCCAATGCCACGCAAAGCTTCCTCTTCCTTGGCTGTTGTTGACTCAATGGACTCATGGTGCATGGCGATGTATGGAAAGATATGGGAATATCATGGGAATGTCACGGGAATATAATCAGGATATATGGGAAATGGAGGTTTTAGTTATCTGGGAAAATCATCGAACCTTTGGGGGATTTTCCAGGCAATCTTTGATGACCATGCAACATTTTATAGGATTTTGACCCCAAATAGCGGAGGTTTTCTGCATTCTGGGAGTGACAGCCATGGCTTTGTGGTCGATTTCTGTCGAATCCAGTGGATGGAAGATATCCACCGATGGTTGAAAGCCGATGTTTTGGGATGTTTACCACCTATCAGCTGGTGCAGGATTAACCATCTACAGTATTTAGAATACATCCAAAAGTCCAGTCCTTGATGTACGGCGTTCAGGTCCCCCGAACGTATCTTCACCATCCCCTTACTGGTCCTGGTTGTGAACAACCCTAACGGTAAGTCCTCGGCCCTCGTGGCTTATCCCATTTATTATAAATGGCTTGTCTTTTGTGCTGTCATCACAGTTCCTAACCACTTACTAAGTTTGCTGATCCTCTGAGATATTCTGATAGGAAGGGATACCTTCCGTTGGCCTGGAACAGCAGCAATACTTCGATGTTTTTTTCCAGCAAACTAAAAGCTCCATTTCCCATATATCCTGGTTATATTCCCGTGATATTCCCGTGATATTCCCATGATATTCCCATATCTTTCCATATTTCGGGGAGTTTTTTTCCAATTGCCACGTTTACCCTTCAGGGATCTGACCGTTCGCCCAGTGGGTCTCAGATCGTCCAAGCTGCAGATCCTTCGATGTCCAACTTCAACCTCAGGACTTCGAGTCGACAGGTGAGCCGCTGAGCCAACATGGTCCCAGATCGTCCCATTGAAAGTTGGACAAAATTGTGAAGCCATTTGAAACATGAACCAGTTGTGGATATATTTGAGTCGTGCAGTTGTCATACCCTCCATTTTTTGAAACCACCAATCCGAAAAAATACACAAAAATACCATGTGGGTTTGTCTGAAAATAGTGTACCCCTACACCCAATGGTTTTGCTGATCATTATCCCTACTTTTTATGGCTATTTCATTGGGGGTATACCCTATTTTCAGACAAAAATCCGCCCGCACCGAAGGTGCTGGGGCGTGATCTTCCGGATGGCACTCGTAAAAGGTTACAGGTGGGGGCCATTTTTCGGCCAAAACCTCCTGTTTTTGATAGGTCGTGACGCTCGCCTTCAAAAAACACTGTAAAAAACAATACGGAAGACACCTGTTCGTGAACGCGCCCGTCCAAAATCGGCAAGCGAAAAGTGAAAAAAACCCGTGTTTTTCAACTTTTTGACCTCAATTTTTTGGTTTGCAACATCTTTTTTTGCGGTTCCGCAGGTGGCCGGGCCCGGAGGCGGATTTTTGAGTTTTTGGACCCGTTTTCGGACTGATTTTCGTCGTTTTGTGATAGCAGAAACACTGGTTTTTACAGTGTTTTTCTGTTTTCTGCATGCTTGACGGCTAGCTTCAAAACTTCCAAAAACCTCGTAAATTACGCTGTTTTATGTTACGGTGTGAATGAAAACATCGTAAATACCAGTGTTTTTTGACGTTGGTTAAAAAAACACTGTAAATTACAGTGTTTTTGGCCACCTGACCCTCAAAAACCATGGTATTTGCAGTGGTTTCTGCTTCTCACCGCGCAAAAACACTGTAAATAACAGCAATTTCGCCGTTTTTTCATGTTTTTCGTTATTTTTTGAACTGCGTTGGTCCGCTATACATGGCTATCAAATTCTTCGCGTTTTTTTTCCCGACAATCAGTACTTTCGGACGTTTTTGGTCTCAATGGCCGACATCATTGGCAGTTACGAGCGGCTGCCCAACGATGCGGTGCGGGCGGTTGCCGTCGCGAAGCGACGTGACTACCATGTTTTGGATTGAGGTGTTGTCCCTTGAACCTGGCACTGCAGGGAGATCCAACCTTAGATACTGCGGATGATGCCCGACCACCGATTTCTGGTGATGGACCTCTCATCTTCGGCTTCTGAAAGATTCGGCCCCGAAATCCGCCCGCACCGAAGGTGCTGGGGCGTGATCGTCCGGATGGCACTCGTAAAAGGTTACAGGTTTACCTGGGGGGGGGGGGCATTTTTCGGCCAAAACCTCCTGTTTTTGATAGGTCGTGACGCTCGCCTTCAAAAAACACTGTAAAAAACAGTACGGAAGACACCTGTTCGTGAACGCGCCCGTCCAAAATCGGCAAGCGAAAAGTGAAAAAAACCCGTGTTTTTCAACTTTTTGACCTCAATTTTTTGGTTTGCAACATCTTTTTTTGCGGTTCCGCAGGTGGCCTGGCCCGGAGGCGGATTTTTGAGTTTTTGGACCCGTTTTCGGACTGATTTTCGTCGTTTTGTGATAGCAGAAACACTGGTTTTTACAGTGTTTTTCTGTTTTCTGCATGCTTGACGGCTAGCTTCAAAACTTCCAAAAACCTCGTAAATTACGCTGTTTTATGTTACGGTGTGAATGAAAACATCGTAAATACCAGTGTTTTTTGACGTTGGTTAAAAAAACACTGTAAATTACAGTGTTTTTGGCCACCTGACCCTCAAAAACCATGGTATTTGCAGTGGTTTCTGCTTCTCACCGCGCAAAAACACTGTAAATAACAGCAATTTCGCCGTTTTTTCATGTTTTTCGTTATTTTTTGAACTGCGTTGGTCCGCTATACATGGCTATCAAATTCTTCGCGTTTTTTTTCCGACAATCAGTACTTTCGGATGTTTTTGGTCTCAATGGCCGACATCATTGGCAGTTACGAGCGGTCGCGAAGGTGTGAGAACAACATCGTTCAAACCGTGGCGGCCGCACAGGGGTTCTTGTCGCGGAGCGACGGCAATAGAAGAGAACAATGGCAGTAGAAGAGAACAATGGCTGACATCATTAACAGTGTGGACCGTTCACTCGATATGTACATATATGATCTTTATATATATATAGATATATCTCTGCTGTGTGAGCCCAACGATGCGGTGCGGGCGGTTGCCGTCGCGAAGCGACGTGAATAAGTGGCTCAAAATACCAACCCAACCTGACCAACTAACCAAGGTTTAAAGGTCACACGTTCACCCCACCACGCCACCAAGGAACAGGGAGATCTCTTGTCCGCGGATCTCTGGAAGTACCTTTTCGATCCAGTCGAAGACGCCCGACAGCCGCACACAGCGGACACCTTCCAGGCGTTCCTGCTGCAGAGTTGTAGATTGGATTGCAAAGAAACGGATATATATATATATATATACACATAATATACTATATATAAATTAAATAATATAATATAATATAATATAATATATTATATATATAATCAATCATTTTACAGTTGTACAGGGATATCAAAACATGTTGAAAGGAAATATAGCCAACTATATTGCGGTTGTTCTACCATCCAAGTGGCTTTCCTGCAGATGTTCCCTTAAACTAATTCTGGGAGAATGGGTATATCTATCAGACCCCCAGAGAAATTGGAGTTCCGTCCTCCAACTTCGGCAACCAAATCGATATGTTGTTAGCTTCAAACACCATTTTTGTCGGTGAATCACTCCCATTTTTGCAGGTGAACCCCAAGAAAGTGCATCTGGTTCAATGGATTGGTTTTGTTGGGAAAATCTTAACCGGAAACTATCGAGTTTCCCATTATTTCTTTCTATGGTTTTTTCCGGGTTCAATTTTCCCAACAAAACCAATCTTCTGTCCAAGTGCATCCGTGGTAACCCTGACCCCGCGGGCTGCGCCTGAGCAAAGAAGATTTCCACCAAGCGGCGGTCGAAGCAGCCGCTCCGCTGCGCGGCATCTTTGGCCTCAGATTCTTCGGCCACTCGGATGCCGTGTACGAATAGATGCAGGATGGGGCCCCCAAGATAGTTAAGTTGCCAAGTTATAAGATGTTAAGTTTCAAGGGTTAAGATATAACTATAGCAAGATAGTGTTTTACAAGTGGCTGAATTCTATGGTTTATGGTAGATATAACGAACTCGTTAATGGACGTTAATGGGGTTTATAAACCAACATTCACATCACTGGAGGGCACCATCCTGTACTGAGGCCAACGATATTTAGATAAGTTAGATCAGTAGTTCTACTTCAACAGTGCATCCATAGTTACAAGTGGATATTTTTCAAACCATACCTTTTTTGGGGCCCCATAATCCCCATATTCCAACTCGTAGAGACTGAAATCCCCAAAGATTTTGGCTCGGTTTTGAATCAACCATCAATACTTCAACTGTGCATCACCGAGAGATTTACACTTAAAATGTAAAGATAATATATATATATGTATAATATACGTATATATATATAATATAATACATACATTAATGCTTTACTCGTCGGGGTTTTCTGCGGTGGATTTCTCAAGCCATCCATCTAAAGCGATGGTGCCGATCCTGAAACCGGTTGAAGTCCTCTGCAAAGATCTTGAAAAGGGAAGTCAAAATCTGGTTGGTTAATATACTATTAATATTGTTTAATATATGATATATATGGTTAATATATCGTTAACATATGGTTAATATTAATGGTTAATGATGGTTAATAATAATCTGGTTGGTGGTTGACCTACCATTGTGGTTAATATACTGTTAATATATGGTTAATGATGATGGATATTGTATGGTCAATGATTATCTAATGGTTATCTGGTTGGTGGTTTTTCGCCTACCCCTCTGAAAAAATATTGGTCAATTGGGATCATTATTCCCAATATGATGGGAAAAATAAACCAAATGTTCCAAAGCACCAACCAGAAATGCTCTCACGGATGTTTTGGAGTTTCTTGCTACATAAGTCTAGCTTTCTGCAGGGAACAACTCCAAACACTTCACGGTCTCCTCAACTGTCAAATTCTTGTCCAGCATCCTCAGATCTGCATCACCACTCTGGCTGAGCAAAGTGACACCAACTTGGTGAATTTGTGGTTCACTGGTTCACTTCCTTGATGAATGTCACCTTCATGGGGTGAGCAAATCAGGTCTTGTCAATGTTTGCCTTCAATGAAGGTCGCCTCGTGCTTGGTCTTCAGGAACTCTTTCTGAAGACAGCAACTGATGGGGTCGTAATCTGCCACCTATCAACTTTGCCTGAACAAAATCGAGAAAACCTCAGAGATTCAGTAAGTCATGATCTGTTAATACGGAATAAATGGATGCTGGTGAGGTTTGGCAACTAAAGGGCACTTAAACTTTTCGGGTTTCACGACTCGCATCATTTTGATGTCATTATTTTCAGCAAGCCTCTCAATCTTTGCTGATTGGAGTTTCCTTTGGCAACACGTTTATAATTTTGTCTTGAGGCACACAACTCTAAAGGTGCTTTTCGGGGGCAGATCTGAAGTTGGAGGCCTCAATAAAGGGCGGGATCTGTGTGTTTTCAGGTACCCCTTCTGTGGACATTTCGTTCAGTTTCATCGCCGAGGTGACCGAACGATGGCGCGCCAAGGTGGAGGACGAGGTCAAATATGGGAAGTAGCAGAGTTGATCCTGTCCTGGGCCGAGTTTCCATCCGAGGCAGATATGGGAAGATAACTAGAAACATAGGGGATATAGAAATAAGAACAAGGGCATACAGGGCAGCAGTTCATGAATAATCTTATCCCCTGTAATATCAATACCACCCAAAAACCGTGGTTTCGTATTGAGTAGGGGATCTACACATATTTGGAACCAGCTGGAGGGATGTTTAATCTTGGGCGGGCCGAGCACCAAACTGCTGGTAGCTCCCAGTCTTGTCCAAAATATAAATTGGTTAATCAATCAATATGGGGAATATAAGCGGATATAGTTGGGGATATAACAGTTTGCTATGGAAAATCACCCTTTTTACTGGGAAAATCCACTATTTCTATGGCCATTTTCAATAGCTTTTCGTATGTTTACCAGAGGGTAGAGTTGGGGATATAACATATTCCCTTATATATCCCACATTATTATATGCCCATATAACTTTATCCCATGACATCCCCAATCATTTCCCGCCAAAAAACCCATACTCGTTGGTTAAATCCCTGTTATTGGTGGGGCAAATCGCCGCCATGTTCTGGTGCTATCCCACATCTTTGTACCAAACCCACATCAAATCGTTGCTTGATGCATATGTATGTATATGTATATGTATATGTATATGTAAATGTATATGTATATGTATATGTAAATGTATATGTATATATCATTATATATATATATTATAGATAAATCTTTAAGCAGGATATCCCCATATTATCACCCTATTCAACCGATCCCCATATGAAATAACCGAGTCTCGGTCTTCGTCAGAGAGTGCCAGCTGGAAGCAATGCACCACCACCCCGGGACTTTCATGGACACCGGCCATTCGCACAGTCTGGTGGAGTTGAGATGTTGGGGACTTCACCATTGGAGATTTGGATTCACATGGGCTTGGAGACTTTTCATGGGATTTTTGCGGGTGATTTTTGAGGGGATGAAAGTTGGGGATTCCCTGAGGATTTTTTTGTTGGGATTCAAGCAACAACTGGTGGTTTCAACTCATCCAAAAATATTGTGAGCGCTAGGCCACTTTCTAATTGGGGTCCATCCCATGGTTGGGTTGAGATTTGTCGCCAATTTTCAGACACGCCCAGATTTGAAACCACCAAGCAGTTTTGATTGTTGTCTTAATCTCTTGTCAAGAAAAGATATCGTCCAAGAAAGCTCTCACTTACAGGGAACGACAGTGCTGGCTCAAACTTTCCCTGCAGAAGTCTGAATGATCCCCATTTGTGTTTGCTATACCCTCATAAATAAGCGCAATACCCGCATAGTTCGTTGGTGGAACTGCAATTCTCAAAGGCGAACTGTACTCAACCCAGCAAAACACTGGTAACTTGCGAACAAATCCCATTAAATAGTGGTATAACATTTCATTGGCAAAACTCAGCAAGTTTGCGATATCTCACCATTTAGTTTGCTATATCCCCATTAAATGATTCTATATATATATATAATGTGTTATAATATATATATATATATATAATATGAGATAATATGAATATGTACCTATTGAAGGTTGAACTCCTGTTGCTGGGCTTACACTTTCCTACTTCGATGTGCATCCCATTTCTCCTACGTTATCCATTTCACATTGATCCATATCTGGGGACATCAACCAGTCCTATGACTGGGTGAACTAATCTGCTGGGTCGTTTGACCCTGGTCATTTTGCTAATGTTTTCAGATCCAAATAGTTCCAAATAGCAGGTCTGGTTGGTGGTTGACCTACCCCTCTGAAAAATATGCTCGTCAGCTGGGATTATTCTTCCCAATATATATGGAAAAATAATCCAAATGTTCCAAACCACCAACCAGAGTTTCTTTATAGATGTTTATTCCCCAAAACTAGAAGTTCTGGCGGTACTGATCCATACTTGCAAGATCAGCCCACGACTCGCAACTGGCGGGCCTTCTGGGGTTACTTCACCCATCTGGCAAGTCCCCATTCAGGGGATTCTTCCATTTATAAATGGATTATAATTAGGGTTATTGAACACTTATTGGGTTACTAGGGTTATAACTATGGTTATAACTATGATCATAGCATGTTAAAACTCTGGTTATCACTGTGGCTATAAGAATGGATATCACTATTTTTTTAAAATAAGTATATGGTTATATCTATGGTTAATACCAAGTTCTCCCATATATAAATAACATAGTTACTAACCCCAGTTATGGGAACAAACCATAGATAACCCCAGTTACTAACCACAACCACAACTCGGATCGTGGAAGATGATTCTCCGCTGTGCATGGCAGCACCTTCAACACTTCATCTGACAGCTCTTGGCCATGCTCAACCACGCGCACCTAACGGCAACGGCGAACAGGGCTGCCCTGATTTAGCACCAAAAAAGGGGGGAAGAGGATTTCTGTGCCTTCTAAAACTGGGCATTTCTCAGGGTCTTAAGTCTACGAAGTGGGAGAATCGTAAAAGCGCAAACATGAAGTCATGGTTTGGTTCGAATTGTGGGCGAAAAAAGACATAGCGAAATATTATTGCATCGGAAATCTGAGGGGTTTTCCACTGACCCACACGGCCCTCTCCTCTCCAAAAACATCCTGGGCGCTGGTATTTTACTTGACTCATATTTTTATCACCTGGAAAATACAACCTGGAAGCTACCACTTAGAAACAGTGGTTAATGCTTATCGCTTTTTATCCATTTTCAACCACCATGTCATAGCCAAACCCCTGCTATCCCCTATTTCTGATGGTTAAATCTCAAACTAGCCTTTATGTTGGGTTATATCGCCAAATCGCCATCATGACGTGTTATCGTTTAGGCTCAATTTCGGCACTATTTCAACTGGGGTTAGTTCACCCAGTTACTTGGTGGTTCATCGCAGTTAGGTGGGTTATAACCCTAGTCATAAGTAGATTAACCCTACTTATCCCACATAGAATTCACCAAGCTGGTTGGTGGTTGAGCCCTACCCCTCTGAAAAAATGATGGAGTGAGTAACAGTTGGGATGATGATTCCCCATATATGGCAAAATCATCCAAATGTTACCACCAGCAGATCAGCAGAGTTATAAGCTACTTAGGATTCCTGTGATGAACCACCAAGTATGGAACTCCACGAATCGGAGAATCCTCCACCGCCCAAGGGTTGTTTACGTTGAATCCACGGCTCGATGGAATTACTTGCGGGGATCAATGATGGTCAATGGCTAATAATGATGCTTCATTCTATGCTTAATATGGATGAATATCATGAACATGATCCCATTTATATCCATCTATTTATTTTGATGATGAATCATTTATATCATTTATATCCATTTATGCTTATGGATGATGAAAAATGATCCCATTTATTTCCAGAATAGTTCACCCCATTTTGGCCCCACGATTCCACGATCGCTGAGAAACCCCGTGCTGTCGCAGATTCTTCACAGCCAGCTGATAGCTTTCCAGTGCCGGCTCGAATGCCAAGACCGTCAGCTGCCGCGAGCAACGCTTCGCCAGCACCAAACCTTTGGCTGGGTAAATGATGAAGACCCACTATTGTGGTTAATATATATCCCATTATAAGGCCATGGTTGTACTATGGTTATACTGTTATACTATGTTATACTAATGTTTGGGAGATGGTATTTTGAAATATTTTATCAGTTTTTACTACTGGGGAAATGGTAGTTCCTTCATCCAACATACGTTTTGTCATGGGGAAAGTTGCATGCCGTTTGTGAAGGAGACATTTTAGGGAATCCGCACAACCTTGATCGCTTCGCAGGGCCCAGAAACTGAAGATGCCCAGGTTCAAGCCGCCGTCCACCACGATGGACTTCTCCGGCAGCTTTTGCAGGTCCCCGTAGCACTTCTCGACCTCGATCTCCTGACAGATGAAGTGCACTTCACCACTGCTGCGACCCCAAAGCTCGCCAGAATCGGTGGAGATTGGATGTACAGGCCTGGCTAGGAAGGATCCCAGCAGGATACCCTCTGGTAAAGTAACATAACTATGGAACATCACCATTTTTAATGGGAAATTCCACTATAAATGGCCATTTTCAATAGCTATGTTAGTTTACCAGAGGGTATATCCAATAGCTTGGGGATATGGATGACACATGGTGACTGCTGATCCAATTGGGGATATTTTAAAAAAATGTGATCTGCTGGTCATTGATGGTTTGCTGAGACCTCCAGGTTTTGGTTAGGGAAAACTGGCTTAGGAACACACCACCTGGCTGAAAATGAGGGATGACACCCAAGTGATGGCAATTTTCATAGGGACTATGGTTCACCAATGGATGGATAGCTTTTCCCCTAAGTTTTCAAAGAAATCCACCTCTGACTTGCCTAAGATGCTGCAAAACACACATTTTGTAAAAGGTGGTGAGTTCGGAATCGCTAAGTTGGTGAGGATATCTCCAAGTTTTCCGGGGTTTATAGGAGATATATCCACACTTCATGGGGTTATAAACCAACAAATATCACTGAAACACCACCTTGCGGAATATGACATACCCAGGAGGCCAAAACAAGATGATGCTACTTGGTGGTTCATGCCACGTACATAGGTGACAATCCTGATTGAAACCCTGATTCAAAAATGTGCCAAGCAAGCTTAGTCCACTTCTAACCGGGGTTAAAACCTGCTTACGATTCATATGAACCACCAAGTAGTGCGAGTACTGCTGTTTTTTCTCGTGCTTTTGGTGGAATTTCAGCACCCTGCCGAAGTAAAAACAGGTTTACTGCCGAGCTTTTCAACAACGGTGGAAGGTACATCCTAGTTTTTCAGAACTAAGTATCTATCTATATTATTATATTGGTACATATATATTTGTATATATATATAATATATATGTGTATTTTCAGAACTATCTACATTATATCCTAATTATCTATCCATTGTGGGTCAAGTCATAGCTATATCCTCTATCAAATATGGCTAGGCCACGGGGAGTTCCCTGCGGCCACCCATACGGGGTGCAGTTGAAGTTATAAATTGGCACACAACCATGATTAGAGGGGCCCCATATCCCAAGTTACAGATGTCAAATTCGCATACTTGCAGTTCATCCTCACTATATTCCATGAATAATTCCAATTAAGTTGGTTTAAAAGCCCCATTAACTATAGATATATCTCCCATAAATTTACGGGCATCACTCAGCCTCAACGCCGGCTGCGTTTCTTCAGCTGCTTTGGCTGGCAGGGTGTCGAGCAGCTCGTGGATTTCCTCGGGCTCTCAGTGGCTCCCAGTGTCTGGAGTGAAGTTGTGGTAGAAAACTGGTTGGTGGTTGAGCCACCCCTCTGAAAAATGATGGAGTTCGTCAGTTGGGAAAATATATTCCCAACTGAATGGAAAGTCATAAAATTCAGGTTCCAAACCACCAACCAGATGTGATTTGCCTCTCATTCTCGGTGTCAGGGATCATTACAGGCACCCTAGGTCCATTGGTTATACCATCAAAAATTGGTCTTTCCCGTAGATGTTCTCCCCGTCCATTTCTGGGATATGAGTTAAACCAGCATCAGTTGGGGTTTTATCAGATCTCAACCAACGCGTCACCATGAACTTCCCTTCCGTGAAACATACCGTACAAGCTAATGGGACCAAAAAAACAATGAAACTTAAATCCATGGGATAATTTGGCGATTTATGTAAAATATAAACATATGAATTCCCATATTATTATATATATATAGATATATATTTATATATTCCTATATCTATATTATGTACAAAATTTCCTTTTTGTTGCTGAAATTCCAGGGGCTCTCTAGCCAGGTGCGTATGGGTCGTGAAACATGGCTACTCCTATTCGATCAGCAAAGTTACCCTCCGGTAATCATGGCCCATGATTTTCCCAGCGATATCTCGATTTAGCTCCGGGATTTTCGATTGCCATGTTTGATGACACCAGAGGGTATCCACCTTAAAAAAAACCCATTAATCACTATAACTATAATAATCGCTGGAAGGTAATATTTTTGTTGCTTGATGACCAATTCTTGTTGGTTGAGGGTTTCAACTTTTGCCCACCCCAATGACTTTGACGCCACCTTCTCACTTTGAAAAAGTCGTGGCGACCACCCGCTGGCGTTCGGCATCGACATCATTGTTATCAACAGCAGCAAAACTATTAACATGACATTGGGCTTGCAGCAGCAAAGTCGTGAACCAATCATTGTGGAAGTATGCCAGCCTCTCCAAAGAAGCTTGCACAAGTCTTATCCGCAGCAGTTTCACCTGCATGTCTCTAGACGTTGAGAATTTCAAGTGGCACTCTGCCAGCAATCTCCAAGCTTGGCGTCGCTATCATGCCATCGCATGGCGAGCTTCACTTTTCGATCGGTGAACCCCCCCAAGTGTGTCCCAATAATGGTTGCTATAAACCATACAGCGGGAGAAATGATCATCATTCACTGAGCTGAAATGAGGCTTTTGGGAATAGTTACCCCGAACCTCACCATCATTTCAGTGACGTCACGATGTGAGGTTCCGATTTATTCAGATATACATCTCCAATTTTGCTCGTTGGCCCATAACTGGTTGGTGGTATACCTACCCCTCTGAAAAATATGCTCGTCAGTTGGAAAAATAATCAAAATGTTCCAAACCACCAACCAGATTATGAACTATCATTAACCATCGTTGGCCCATAAAGTTTTGGCGGCTTTTGATCCCCTTATCTTGCGACAGCACCAACCTCTTGAACGGCTCCAAGCTTCGCGCATGGCCGTCTGGAGTCCATCCTCCGCCTCCAGCAAGGTACCGAGGCGATTCACCTCAAGAAAAGATTTCTCAAGGGAATGGAGGACTGGTTGGTGGTGCAATGTGCCCATCTTGAAAAATATGAGTTCGTCAATGGGAAGGATTATCCCTTTTTTTTTTTTGAAAATAATCCAAATGTTTGAAACCACCAACCAGAGGAGCTGTATATAGATAATTGGCAATCTTGGATACCATAAAAAATTATCTAAAAAACAATTCGATTGGCAAATTGAATCTATATACAACTAGTTGTAAAAAAAACAAGTAACTCTATGCGATTAACCGTGTTATATAGTTAAATGGTTAGCTGGGAAATTTTTAGACATTCCTATTTGCACGCAGCGGATGGCACGAGTTCGAACTACCTAGGGATCGTTTGATGGGGTGAGCTTGAAACTTGCAGATGACTATCTGGTTGGTGGTTTACCTACCCCTCTGAATATGATGGGAAAAAATGTTCCAAACCACCAACCAGTTATACAACCTCATATTGAAACTACACAACACTTCCTATTGAAATCGCAAAAGATTAAAGGACTAAGCTCCAAAGTTGGTATGATACATGGTGATTATGTATAGTCTCAGATATTGAATATACTGGCGATCTATGTTGTGAAGAGAACATGGTTTTTCTTTACCCATACCCAATCCACTTAAACACATCCATTCTATGGTCTTTATGTGTAAATCCCTCAATAAACCATGAATATTACTGTTTCAATATCTTAAGTTTGTATTTTTTCATGTTTTCTGCCGGGGTTTTGACTCACAGCCATATCTCTATCTCGATTGGTTCTGCCGGGAACATTGACACCGGTTTTAGCCGCATAGAAATCATGGGAAAATCAACAAAGTTTCCTAAGATTTTTCCCAACAAAACCAGGATCAGTTGATCTATAACCCACAACATGAACCAACCATGAAAAACGGGGGGGCCCTATATGAATCAAATAAACCAAAAGTGGGGTATTCAACCATTTTCCCAAAACTGGGGAAGGGAGATATGCTAATTGGTGGTTGAGCTCGCCTACCCCTCTGAAAAATGATGGAGTGAAAGTCAGTTGGGATGACATGACATTTCCAATTGAATAGAAAGTCATAAAAATCATGTTCCAAACCACCAACCAGCATTTAGTTAACCATCATTAACCATCATTAACCACCATTAATCATCATTAATGTCAGCCCTGGATTAAGAAACCCCTGGGCTGTTGGTTCCAAATCAGCAACCAGAACATGAACCAACCGTGGCACCGTGGCCTGCAGCTGTACTTCCTCCGTCATCAGCTGTCGCAACTTCTTCGCCACAAGTGGCACCGAGAAGTCGCCCTCGTCGATGTGCTGCACCGAGGCCTGACATGGCGATGTCATCAGATGGCGAAACTCGAGGCCTGGTAAACGTTTACAAAAAACGATGGAAAAATCCACCATTTTTAATAGGTAAATCAACTATTTCTATGGCCATTTAACTAACATAACTACGGAAAGATCCACCATGTTATAGCTGGGAACATCCACTATTTCTATTGTCATTTTCTATAGCTATGTCACAAATTACCAGAGGGTAATATTGGTTTCTGGATGCTGTTATAACTGGCTATTATGATCATAATAACAGGTATAAAAACATGATTATGATTGATAACAATACATTATAGCAGATGATAGATAATGGATGAATAATGGATGATCATAGATAGTAATCAATGATAATTGCTGATGATTGCTCATGATTGATGTTGATAA